TAGTCACACTACCTATTCTTTGAGGCTTTTCTTAAGACAGTCTCCTCCTTTAATTCCTCTCACAGTTATTGTACTGTGGCAGACCTTCAGATCTTGTCATATAAAACTTATGTACTTTTTATGTACTGTACTACCTTCCTAACCAAATGACAGTGTCACTTAGGGTTTGAGACCATGTTTCATGACATAAATGTAAAGTAGCTGCTTTACACATGACTATTTTTGTGGTCAATAATCATGACAGTATTTTTCAGATGCTTCCCTAGGGATTGAAAGAATTTGTACAGCTTCTCAAAGTGCTAGATTTAAACTCAGGAAATAATTTTAATTAGAAAATTTGCCTTTCATTGGTTTATTGGTTCAACAAGATTTCTTAAAAATGTGTCTTCTTCTGGACTTTTATAGAACTTTATTAACTTTTCTCTGTAATAATATATTGATATAAGTTCTTATGTTCTTACTACACTCTAAGGCCTTTGAAGACACTAACCATTTTATCTCAGTATTTTTCCCAGTTTTTGATACAGTCTTCTTCCCATAGATGATATACAATATATTTTGAAGAAAATAATGTTTGTGCACATAACTATACAAACTTCTACTAGAAGATGTAAACACAGAATATACTTTACTTTGTCTTCTACCAACACATTTCAATCCTGGGTGTTTTGCTGAAGAAATAAAACAAATAATAAAAGCAGCAGAATAGTGACTTAGCAGCTTTTGAATGCATAATTATAAAATACTGACCATGTATATAAGAACAGAAGGTTGTTACATAGCAGATTTAAAGTTCTAATATCATTCCAAATGATTAATTTAAAAATTATGTATTTCACATAGTTAATTTGCTATTTGAAAATTTCATCAAACATACCTGGAATTAAAGATTTGTGAGGCATTTGTAATCTATTTTAAATAAAATACGCAAACCTAAAAAATCAAGGTTACTGCTGATACGTAAAGGAAACTAAACCATTACTCTTTGGTTATGATTTTGGGGTAATCCGGCTAAGGGAGGAAAAGCATAACAAATTACTTAAGCCTATAAATTCTTCCCACGTGGAATGAAGAGCAGGATTTTCGTGTCCAGTAGCCCCCTCTTAACTGTGGTTTCACCTTCTGAGCTTTCAGTTACCTGCAATCAACTGTGGTCCAAAATATTAAATGGAAAATTCTAGAAATAAGCAATTCATAAGTTTTAAATCATACTCCATTCCCAACGGAGGGGTGAAATCTTGAGCCATCCCACTGGAAAAGTGAATCATCCCTTTGTTCAGTGCATCCACTGAAAAAAGTCACTTAGTAACCATCTGTCTGGGTTATCAGATCAACTGTTGGGATATCGCAGTGCTTTGTGTTCAAGTAACCCTTAGCTTACTTCACAATGGCCCCGAAGCACAAGAGTAGTGATGCTGGCAAATCAGGTATGCCAAAGAGAAGCCTTAAAGTTATTTTTTTTAAGTGGAAAGGTGAAAGTTCTTGCCCTAATAAGGAAAAAAAAATCACATGCTGAGGTTGCTAAGATCTACGGTCAGAACGAATTTTCTATCTGTGAAATTGTGAAGAAGGAAAGAGAAATCTATGCTAGTTTTGCTGTCACACCTCAAGCTGCAAAATTTATGGCCACAGTGCATGATAAACAGTTAAGATGCAAAAGGCTTTATATTTGTACAATAAGGTATTTTGAGAGGGAGAGAGAGACCACCTTCACGTAACTTTTATCATAGTATGTTGTTACAATTGTTCTATTTTATTATTAGTTATAGCTGTCAATCTCTGTGTCTCATTTATCATAGGTGTGTGTGTATAGGAAAAAAAATAGTACAGACAGGGTACTATCTATGGTTTCGGGCATTCACTGGGGTTCTTGGAACATATCCCCCGAGGATAAGGGGAAATTGTTGTGTTTAAGATACTCAAATTAAAAAATGAGAATAGGGTCTTTCTTAATAAGGGATATCTGGAAGACCTAGGGGTGATAATTTTTAAAAGCCATTGCAGCTGTGAGACTTTATTTAGGTGGAGAAAATTAAAGTTTTATTCTACTGCATGATAATTTGGCAGAAACAGTAACCACTATTCTCATTAAATAGTCTATGCTGTGCCTAAAAATAATTCAAGATGATTTATTCTATTAAACACAATATTCTTATTATAAAGCATTCATTAATCACTTCTTCCACATACAGTGAAAACTGCTATCCTCATCAATTTCCATTCATATTATCCCGATGTGAATAACTTTGAATAACATTTTGCTAAGAAATATTAAAGTGCAATTGTGTCCCTGAACTACATTCAGTTCACAGCCAATCTGTGCCAAAGGATTATGGATAATAGAGGTTGGAATACTTTGTTGCTCCACTAACTTGAGTGACTTTTACTGAGTCACTTAATTTTTGCATTTTAGTTTTTCTATCTGTCCTTAGAAATGACATATAGAAGAGACCTTAGTGTTGGTTCACAGCCTCAGGAGTTCCCCAGGTGAAATTAGAATCTGGCCCCCATATACAGATGGCAAAGAGAGACCAGAGAACTAGGAAGATTACTCCAGGTTGGCAGGTGGCAGTTTTCATCAGCAAGGGAAACTTATACATGAGGCTTGTTATAGGGGGCTACAAGAATAATAGAGCTCTGCACCCACCCGCCAGAATCTTAAAAGTTCATATAGAGGACTTAATGGGGTTCAGGCATGTATACAGTCCAGATTGTCTCAATAACATTATTCTCTCAGGCTGCTTCCTTGAAGTGGTTCCTAGTGCAGAAGCTGTGAGTGAAATGTACATTCCAAAGAGGGAGTAAGGAGTCTCTGATGGCCCAGGTTCTGCTCAAGGGTCAGCCTGTGGTCATGTCCTCTCAGTGACCTCTTCCAACACTTAAATATCATTCAGTCCTACTCTTTCTTTTGTTCTGCAGTAGAGGATTATGCCCAGGGATGACCAGTCTGAGGAATATTTCAAACCCATTTAAATTTCTAGAAAAATACTATATAAGCTAAAATGTATAATAATTATGTAAACAAATAGCCCTGCATTAGATTAATTTCATTATATTTAAAAGAGAAATGTATTCCTCACTATTCTGAACTCAAATGTACTGGAATGTATAATAATATACGTTTTAGTAGTGTCCTTTAATAGTGTATTGCATGTGACTTTTTAAATGGCAAATCAACCCATCAGATATGCTGACATTTAAGACATTCACTGCTAATAGTTTATTTCCTTCATCCCACAAGCTCAGTCAAAAATTCAGTCCAAAAATAAGTGGAAATGAGGAGTTAATTAAAGTACATACCTGTGAAGGATTCATAATATGTTCTTTCTTATGCTCTATGGATAGAAATGAAGCTCCTTACTCATCTGCATTAGATTGCTGCCCACCAATCCATAAAACAAGGGCTCTTCAATATTTATTGAGCCTCAGTAACGTACTGTGCTAGGTACTGCAAGGGATGCTAAAAATGAATAAGGCATGAGCCCTCAGGGAATATATCATCTCTAGTAGAATAAATAAGCACTGTGTTCAAATTCTAAAGTGAGAATTATAAGTTGTATATGACAGTTAAAATCAAGAGCTTATGGGAGTTTAAAGGAGGGATAGATCATACCAAGTGGGAGCAATCAGGAAAGGAAGGCTAATCTCAGGAAGTGAGACCTGAGTAGAATTTCCTAGAGCAAGGTCTTCCAAGAAAAGGTATATACTTACTAAGCAAATGAGGGGAAAAGAAAAAGTGTAGTGGCCATGCTTCTGCAACTTGGAGAGACCCAGATTCCCTGCAGAGCAAGGGAGTAATGGGGGAAAAAAGGAATAGATCAGTGCATCCCCTAAACTAGTTTCCCCGGCTGCTGCGTCTCTTTACCATATATTTTAATATTTACAATAAATTTCCTCTCTTCTGAATAGAAAAAGAATTCCTGACTAGCAGCCAGAATCTTGAGGCTTCACCACTGCCCAGTTAAATAAAACTGAGTATTTTGAGTTGATGAGTCATATGTACTGGAAAACCAGTTAACTCTGTTCCAAGGTTTTGTTTTTGAACCTGATGAGTTTTCGGGTCAGACAGTCCTTGGATGAAATCGAGACCCAATCACAGCTGTGTCATTTTGGCTGATAATGACAAAAACAACTATCACTTTTCTACGCATTTTCACCTGTAACCTTCTAAAACAGCTCTTCTCAAAACTTTAACGAGCAAAGCTATCACGTGGGGTGCCTGTTAATCTAGGGGCTTGGAGTCAGTAGGGCTGGGGTGGGGCTTGAGAGTCTGCATTTCTAATAAGCTCCCCGGTGATGCTGAAGCTTCTGGTCTGTGGACCACTTTTGAGAACAAAGGCTAAAAGCATAATTCCCAGCCAGCAGTATCAGCATCACCTGGGAACTTGATGGATGTGAAATGCAAATTATCAGCCCCCACACCAAACCTACTTAATCAGAAACACCGGGATGAGGCCCAGCATCCTGGGTTTTAACAAGCCCTCCAGGTGATGTCACTGGTTTTCGCATACTCGAAGCACCTGGGGGGAAGGGCGGATTAAATACTATTGATGCCTGAATCTCACCCCCAGATATTGCCCTGTAATTGGTGCGTGGTGTGGTCTCGGCATAGGACTTTTTAAAAGATCTACCAGGTGACTCGAATATGCAATACAATTTGAGAATCCCACGAGGTAGGTATTTGAACTTGATAGGCCTTTTTTCCGCCTGTGCAATGTGGATAATAACCACGCTGGTTCGTGCCTTCGCTTCCAGATTTTGCCATCTCCAGCCAGCCTTAGTCGGCCAAAATCCCACTTCAGTCTCCTGGCCGCGTGCCCCAGAGCCTCTGTCCGAGAACCAGAGGTCCCAGTTGTGGACCCGCCGGAGCATCAGCCACACTCCGCATTCCGGCGCCGCCCGCACCTACGTGGCTCAGGGCTCAGTCCTCTGCGGCTCAAGGGACTGCGCCAGAGCGCTCGGCGCATGCGCTCGGCCCAAGCCAGGCCCCGGTCCGAGTAACGGACTCGGGCTCCCTCCACCGGAAGTGGGCGGCCGCGCTGCGGGAGGAGCCGGGGGTAGCTTAGTAGCTGTGGGCTGTGGGCGCCGGGTCCGGGGGGATCGCGCTTCCTCCTCCGCGCCATGGCGAAGGCCGGCGACGTGGTGCGGCTGCTCCTGGGCTCCACCGCACTCTGGCTCTCGCTGCTCGGCGCGCGGACCGCCTCCGCGTCCAAGGCGGTGACTGCCAACTTGGCCGCGAAGTGGCCGGAGACCCCGCTGCTGCTGGAGGCCAGGTGAGTGCGGGCCGGACCGTCTGCCGAGCCGGCGCGGAGGGAGGGTCCGGGGGATCCGGGACGCACCGGCGTCCGGGACCCCGACGGCGCCTGGGACGCCGTCTCTTAGCCCGCCGGCAGTCAGCTTCTTGCACCGCCGCTGGTGCTTTGACCCCCAGAGCATCACCTCCTCCCCTGCTACCCTGTGCGTCGCACTCACTTGCAGTTTCTTTCCCCCGCCTTCGTACTTTGCCTCATCCACGGGTTTTAAAACTTTGTTTAATTCGTTTGGATTTTCTTAGCGTTTACGAAAGAGGAAAGGAAGAATGGGAGGTAGACTGTGGCGTTTAATGCAAGCTCTTCAATTGATGTAGGCAGTTCTTTTTAGGAACCGGTATTTGAAGCACCTGGTTTCAAGATGATAACATTATTCGGTCAGCTCCTAGGCTTCCTGTGGAGAAGACAGCTTCGCAAAGCCATTACTTCTTTCTGAATCTCATTCACTGGGTTTAGTGCATAAGGTTTCATTTATTGTGGAGAAACAAAACTTGGAGCTATTGAATTTTCCTCTTAGTATTCCAGGAGTTAAACAAAATTTGAAAGTTTTTTCTTTTTTTAACCGGCATGAAGTTTTAATGCCGGTTGCATTTGTAGTTCACCAAAGCAACAGCTTTTGGTTCTAAAAAGAGTCTTTGTCGCCCTACGTGACATTACATGTGTAAGATATTGATACTAAAACAGATTTTTTAATTGAGCTATAATTGATGTAGCTTATTAGTCTCAGGTGTACAACATAATGATCTGATGTATTTACATGTTGTGAAATTATCACCACGTAAGTCCAGATAACGTCTGTCACCACACGTAGTTACAAAAGTTTCTTTTCTTGTGATGAGAACTTTTAAGATCTTTCTTGGCAGCTTTGCAATCTACAGTACAGTATTAAAACTATAGTCATCATGCTGTACATTACATCCCCATGACCTATTTATTTTGTAGCAGAAAATTTGTACTGTTTGACCACCTTTACCCATTTCACCTGCATTCCTGCTTCTGGCACCCAATCTGTTCTCTGTATGTGAGCTCATTTGTTTATTGTTTTTGTATGTGTTTTAAGATTTCATAGGGTATTTGTTCTGTCTGTTATTTCACTGAGCAAAATGCCCTCAGGTCCGTCCGCGTTCTCACAAATAGCAGGATTTCCTTTCTTATGGCTGAATGATATTCGTGTGTGTGTACCACATTTTTTGTATTCGTTCATTATTCAGTGGATTCTTAGGTTGTTTCCATATCTTGGCCATTGTAAATAATGCTGCACTGAACATAGGAGTGCTTACATTTTTTCCAGTCATAGTGTTTTCACTTCCTTTGCATAAATACCCAGAAGTGGAATTGCTGGATCATGTGATAGTTGCTTTTAAAAATTTTTGACGAACCTCCATACTATTTTCCATAGTGGCTGCACCAGTTTACATTCCCCACAACAGTAAACAAGGGTTCCTTTTTCTCCACATCCTCTCCAACACTTGTTATCTCTTGTCTTTTTTTTTTTTTTTTTTTTTGCGATACGCGGGCCTCTCACTGTTTTGGCCTCTCCCGTTGCGGAGCACAGCCTCTGGACGCACAAGCTTAGCGGCCATGGCTTACGGACCCAGCCGCTCCCCGGCATGTGGGATCTTCCCAGACCGGGGCACGAACTCATGTCCCCTGCATTGGCAGACAGACTCTCAACCACTGCGCCACCAGGGAAGCCCTATCTCTTGTCTTTTTGATAATAGCCATATTCTAACAGGTGTGAGGTGATGTCTCACTGTGGTTTTGATTTGCATATTTCTGATGATTAGTGATGTTGAGCACCTTTTCATGTACCTGTTAGCATTTGTATGTCTTCTTTAGAAAAATGTCTATTCAAATGCTGTCCAGTTTTTAATTGGATTGTTTGGTGTTTTTTTTTTCCTATTGAGTTGTATGAGTTCTTTACGTATTTTGATTATTAACCCCTTATCAGATATATGATCAGATATTTTCTCCCATTCAGTAGTTGCTTTTTCATCTTGTTAATGATTTCCTTTGCTGTGCAGAGGCTTTTTAGTTTGATATAGTCCCACTTGTTTATTTTCGCATTTGTTGTCTTTGGTTTTGGTGTGAAATACAAAAAAATCATCGCCAAGAGTGATGTCAAGGAGCTACTGCCTATGTTTTCTTCTAGGAGTTTTATGGTTTCAGGTCTTATGTTCAAGTCTTTAATCTATTTTGAGTTACTTTTTGTGTATGGTGTAAGATAGTGGTCTAGTTTCATTCTTTTGCACACGGCTATCTGGTTTTCCCAAAAGCATTTATTGAAGAGACTGTCCTTTCCCTGTTGTATATTCTTGGCTCCTTCATCATAAATTTCCCTGTTGTATATTCTTGGCTCCTTCATCATAAATTAATTGACCATATATGCGTGGATTTGTTTCTGGGCGCTCTATTCTGTCCCATTGATCTATGTGTGCCAATACCATACTATTTTCATTGTATAGCTTTGTAGTATAGTTTGAAGTCAAGGAGCATTTAGCTCTAGCTTTTCTTAAGATTATTTCGAATTTGGGGGTCTTTGTGGTTCCATACAAATTTTAGGATTGTTTGTTCTATATCTGTGAAAAATGGCATTGAAATTTTGATAGGGGTTGTGTTGACCCTGGATATTGCTTTGCATTGTATGGAGACTTTAACAATATTCTTCCAATCCATGGACATAGAATATCTTTCCATTTATTTGTCTTGTCTTCATTTATTTGTGTTGTCTTCAATTGATTTCATCATTGTCTTATAATTTTCAGTGTACAGGTCTTTCACTGCCTTGGTTAAATTTATTCCTAGGTATTTTTTTGATGCAATTGTAAACAGGATTGTTTTTTAAATTTCTCTTTCTGATAGTTCATTATTAGTGTATAGAAACCCAACAGATTTTTGTATACTGATTTTTGTATCCAGTAACTTTACTGAATTCATATATTCTCACAGTTTTTTTTGGCGGAGTCTTTAGGGTTTTCTATATATAATGTCATGTCATCTGAAAATAGTGACAGCTTGGTTTCTTCCTTTCTGATTTGGATGCGTTTAATTTCTTTTTCTTGCCTAATTGCTGTGGCTAAGACTTTAAGTACTAAACTGAACAAAAGTGGTGAGAGTGGGCATCCTTGTCTTTTTCCTGATCTTGTGCCTGACTGTGATGTTAGCTGTGGGCTTGTTGTATATGACCTTTATTATGTTGACGTACATTTCCTTTATACCCACTTCGAGTTTTTACTCTTAATGGATGTTGAAATTTTTCAAATGCTTTCTTTTTTTTTGCATCTATTGAGCTGATCATATGATTTTTATCCTTAATTTGTTAATGTGGTGTTTCACATTTATTGATTTGTCGGTGTTGAACCATCCTTGCATCCCTGGAATAACTTGCTTATGGTGTATGATCCTTTTAATGTATTACTGTATTCAGTTTGTTAATATTTTGTTAAGGATTTTTGCATTTATGTTCATCAGGAATATTGACCTGTAATTTTCTTGTGGTGTCCTTTTCTGGTTTTGGTATCAGGATGATGTTGGTCTTGTAAAATGAGTTTGGGAGTGTTCCTTCCTCTTCTCTTTTTGGAAGAGTGTGAGGATTGGTGTTAATTCTACTTTAAATGTTTGGTAGAATTCACCAATGAAGCTGTCTGGTTCTGGACTTTTATTTGTTGGGAAGCTTTTGATTACTGATTCAATCTCCTTATTAGTAATAAATCTGTTTGGATTTTTCTATTTCATGGGTCAGTCTTGATACTTTGTATATTTCTAGGAGTTTATTCATTTCTTCTAGGCTGCCCAATTTGTTGTTGTATGATTGTTCATAGTAGTCTCTTATGATCCATTGTACTTCTGTGGTATCAGATATAATAAAACAGCTTTTATTAAATAAAGTATTCTAGTTTAACATATGTCCCCTTCCTCTACCTTTTCCCCAGTTTCTCACATAGCTTACATGGATATGATCTCATGCTCAGTTCCAAATCAGTCTAACTTCTCCCAGCATTAGGCTGATAGTTGCAGTGTTTCAATTTCTGCTTGCCTCAGGAGTCTTAGAACTGGAACTCCTGTAGGATGCTCTTTAAGGCCCTTCACAATCTAGCCACACTCTGAGGTACCAACCCCATTACTTTTAGTGGGTTGAATGGTGGCTCCCAAAAAGATATGTCTATATCCTAACCCCTGGAACCTGTGAATGTTACCGTATTTGGAAAAAGTATCTTTGCTGATGTAATTAAGTTAAGGGTCTTGAGACAAGATTGTTGTGGATCTGGATGGGTGCTAAATCCAATTTCCTTATAAGATACAGAAGAGGAGAAGACACATACAAGGAGGAGGAGGACATCTGAATAGAGACAGAGATTGGATTGGTGTAGCCACAAGCCAAGGAACACCTTAAGCCTCCAGAAGCTGGAAGAGGCAAGGAAAGGTTCTCCCCTAGAGCCCTTGGAGGGAGTGTAACCCTACCAATACCTTGATTTTGGACTTTTCCGGAGCTGTGAGACAGTTTCTGTTGCTTTAAGTCACCAAATTTTTGATAATTTATTACAGCAGCAATAGGAAACTAATTTGATTTTGTACCTTGAAGTGGGGATACTGCTGTAACAAATACCTAAAAATGTAGAAATACATGTTGAATCTGGAAGGAGCTGGAAGAGTTTTGAGAAACGTAGAAAAAGCCTAGATTGTCTTGAGGAGACTGTTGGCATAAATACGGACACTAAAGGCGATTCTGTTAAGGACTTAGAAGAAAGCGTGGAGCATGATAGGAAAAAGCTTCTGTCATCTTAGAGAATACTTACATGATTATGAATAAAATGTTGGTAGAAATATGAACATTAAAGGCACTTTTGGCAAGGGCTTAGAAGGAACTGAGGGATGTGTTATTGGAAATAAAGAAAGATGACCCTTGTTATATAGGCAGAAATCTAGCTGAATTAGATTCTACAGTTGTGTGGGAAGCAGAACATGTAAGCGATGAACTTGGATAGTTAAGAGGATTTCCAAGCAAAGTGTTAAAGGATTTCCAAGCAAAGTATCACCTGGTTTCTCCTTGTTGCTGTAAAATGCAAGAGGAAAGAGAGAAATTGAAAAAGGAACTGTTAAGGAAAAAGGAAGTAGCCTTTGGTAATTTGGGAGGCTCTCAGCCTATCCAGATTGCAAAGGTTGCTAAAATTAGGAAACTCGGTGTTGGGAATGCATGCTCTGTAAAGAAGGCCAAATGTGTGGCTGGATATCTTTTGTTGTATAGATTAGGTGTGCGACTTGTGGATCCACTCAGCTATCTCAGCAGATGCCAGGAATAAAGAGGGGCTTATCCAGGAGAAGGATCTGGGGAGGATCCTTGTGTAATGGCATGACCCTGGTGAGATACGTAGAAGAACCCCAAGGATTTTGATTGTTGCATCAATAGAAACACTGCCTGCTTGGATCAAAAGGGACAGAGACATGATGAAGTGAGAGAAGGCTGCCAGACTTCCAAAATTCTATAGGCAGGAAGTTGGCTGATAGAACTACATGGCTGCAAATGTGTGCTACACTTCAAGAAAAAGAGAGAATGACGCTGAGGGCAAAGCCATGGCAGGCAGCACAGAGGGTGGAGCAATAAGCCACGGAGAGTTATGCTCAAGTCTTAAAAACCTAACAGGATCTTGTGCTGCAATTTGAACTTGCTTGGGATTGATGACTCCTCTACTCTCTACTTTCCCCCTTTTGTAATTGGAATATCTGTCTTTGGGATTTGGAACGCCTATCTCACCACTGCATTTTGGAAGCATATAATTTTTTAGTTCTACAGGTCCACGTGTGGAGAAGAAGTTTGCCTCTGGGTGGATCGTACAGGGCCTCACTCATACGTAGTTTAGATAATTCACACGATGAGATTTGAGACATCTGATGATATTTACTCATATGTATAAATTCTGCCATATGGAAGAAGTCTTTTACCTGTGGATGCACAATAAACGAGCATGTCAGTAGTTGTTTGGTCAAGTCAATTAGGGAATAAGTGTTGCGCTCTACTTTTCTCAAGGTTTTGTACCATCCCTGTCCTTTTCAGGTCACATCCTATTTAGTGTTCCCCATAGTTTCCTCTGCTTTTAGCCTGTTTGTTTGTTTGTTTCAATGCCATTGAGTTGGACACCATTAATAGCAAGAGTTGCTTTGAAGTTGCTTATTGCTTTAAATCCCTATGTCTGTCCTGTTTATGTTGATGAATTAATCAGTTTTTCTCCTTTTCACCTCCTTTTCCCCCTTTAGTGACCATCTCAGACTCACAAGAATTTATCACTCGGCGTGTGTCTGGAAGTCCTCAATACTTCCCATTTATATTAAGCATTAGTTTAGGTTTACTGAGGCTTAAAAGAAAGATAAGGTGGGCAGTAACAAAGTCTGTACTGTCTGTTTGGTGGTTGTGTCTCTTCTGGTTTAAACAGTTAAATCTACTTGTTTTAGTTGTCTTGCACTTTGTTTCATACAGGACCGAATAATCTTTCACTTATTTCATTATTTCCAAAAGGCTTTATATTGCTTTGGCTATTTTTTTTTTTATTACTTACACTCTGGATAAATGGAAGTTTCTTTGGGCTTCAAGACCAAAGACCTAATGCAATACACCAATTTTCTATTAATTTTTTGATTAAGATATTTTCTGTTTTAAATAATAAAAATATTGTCTACACAAATACGTAGCTAAATGAAAATAATCGATAATATGACTTTAAAAAAATGTTTATAAAACCAGATTTTGGTTGTGAAAAATAGGCAGTCTATTTTTTAACTTTTTACTTTTATATAACACTCTCTTTATTGCCATTAAATTATACTTCTCAGTGGCATTTCACATGAAGACACAAAATAAATTATCCATTTTTTAGCTGTAGCTAATAAAGAGGAAAAGCCAAAAGTAATTCCTCATGTAGTCTTTTCCAGTCATGATTATATGCTTGTAGTTAAGAACGATACCTCAGGGAAGAATCATCAATTTGTTCTCTTTTTGCATTATAGTAAATGGAAATCAGCGACTTTTATTTGAGGAGGTTTTTGTTTTTACCAGAAGTTGTAATTTAGCTCTAAAATATAGTATTGAAACCATTTTTTATTTCCATCGATTAACTGATTACTTTTATTTTTTTTAATAGTGAATTTATGGCAGAAGAAAGTAATGAAAAATTTTGGCAGTTTTTGGAAACTGTACAAGAATTAGCAATTTATAAACAAACAGGTAGGTGATGTACATATTTCAACTTTCAAGATATGTATCAATATTTATGTGCCTATATTAGATATGTTTATTGATTTTTTGTTTATTGTTTTTTTTGTTTATTGTTTTTAATGGTAAAGTTTAAGTGTAAATGCTTAATTGGGTTAGTAAGTCTGAATATTAAATTTGAAAAAATGTTTTAATGGAAACTATTCCAAGCATCCATTTCCAAAAATATAAGGCTCTAATACGTTGTTATACAAAAACTCATATGATTAGCAGTGTTTGGATATTTCATTATAATCAAGCAGGAATAGAAATTGTTGAATTATGGTTTTCTTTTTACCTAGATTTCTTTGAAATAGTATTAGTTTTGCATCCAGTAATACTAAAATTTTTTTGCCAGAATACGTTTACTCCTGAACTCTTACAGAGATTTTTAATACTTGCTCTTATTGAGTTAGGTAACCTGTGTGCTTTCATTTCATTATTTAGAAAATTGACTTAGTTATTCCTACTTTTTTTAATATATATGAGAGTATATATCTATGCATACATACATATATTCTTAGAATGAGCTAATGTTTATTAATGTGTTTCTTAAGGAAGATGAGATGCTGAAATTAGGTTTTCACGGCAGAGGCTAAAAGGTTAATTACTAATTATTATAAAGAAAGGTTAAAGAAAAAGGTTAGTTTCCTATCTCTACAGAGAATAGACGTTTTGAATGTTTTAAGTGTTCATTTACTAGAGCCTGTTTGGCTTAAGTGGCTTTGAAGTTCAACAGTTTTATGATTTTATGAGATAGGTTTAAGATAAAGGGAGCAGACATGACTTTAATGATATTTTAAACTGAAATATTTCTAAAAACAAGTAATTTGCTCTTTGAAAAAACTTTTACTAAAAAGCTTCATTATTCATTAATCATGATTTGAGTCACGAGAGACAGTATGCACTGCTTTAGATACTGAGAATACAAAGATGAGTAAATGTGATCTGTGTTCTCCAGACCGTATAATATGATAGAGACAGCAGAACACCTACATGTATTATTAGGTGATCAGAACTTTAATGGGGAGGGATAGGTATAACCCGGACGTGCGTTAAGAGGCACCCGTCAGTATTTCAGAGAGAGCAGGACAGCCTTTTCAGCGGTGAATGCTGGAGTGGAGTTTTGGATGATAGGATCTAACAAGGTCGTAGGGAAAGGAGACGGGTAGAAGACGCCACAGGAATAGATTATGTGGAGAAACTGTGACCACTTAGGAGTCTACCTGTAAAGCAATGGGTGATTGTTGTTCGTTGGTTTTGTATTTGTCCTGGTGATTTTACTTTTGGTATTTGAGGTAAAAATAAGCTAGATTACTATGTCAGGTTTTCATGAGAGTTAAAAAATCCAACACCAGATTTCCTGGCTCTCACCTAAAAATCCTGACTGTACCTTTCCCAAACCTGTTGTTCTCAGTACGTGCTTCATGGCCTTATTTGGTGCCATTTTCATTGGAGAAGCAATCTTGAAAATTACTCTTATAAATTTTGAACCCTTTAAGTTGTTCAAATTTGTCAGCATATTTTATACCTAACTAAAACAGCATGTCTGGACAAACTGGTGGCAGATCATCAACAAGTTGGAATATAAGCTCAGAAGTACCTAAACTCTACTTTAAGCATAGGAGGTGTATGTGTTTCAGGGTTGAACCTAAAATGAAGTGTATTAAATAAGAATTACTAACACAAAACTATAATTCTGTTGAACCTGTTCATAGTGGTGAGAGCCAAATGCATATCGCTGCCTCAATGCTGACCTTGTTAGGTGTAGGAAGAAACGGTATATATGAGGAATTAAATATGACACAAGCTGTCAGATTTTACTGAATTTGTTTTCAAGGCATTATCCTAGAGGAAACATTTAGAATCCTTAGTTACTTGTAATTTTCTAGGTTGTTGAATCTCCATGAGACTCTCTAAATACTCTCCACTGAAAAATAATTTCAGTGATGTACTTGCCTAAAAAAGTTGTAAAAGTTGAACATTAACTCTTTGAATTCAGGTGCTAGTTTTCCTGCCATTTCGTGAGGACAGTTTACATTATGTGCCAGCATATTCAGACCTTTTAAACATTGAATTGCCTGTTTTTAAATCATTTTGTATGGGTCTGCCACAGAGTTATATATTTATGGATGTCTCAAGATTCAAGTGGCATGGTATTAGCTAACCTTTGTAGTTTTGTGTGATGAATCAGAAATATCAATCAAGGTTTATCTGACTCCAGAGCCCCTATTTATTTCCCCTTCTCCATGTTCTCAGCATATAAAAATCTCATTCTCAAAGTCCTTCAAGATTTTAATGGTTTCTACACAAGTAAAGTTGCTCGTATATTTTAATGGAAAGATTTTTAGAAAATGCTATGACATTTCTAACTCAGTTACTTATAATTGAGAACCAGGTTTGGGGTAGGAAGATTGCCATCTGGACATGTCACATTTGAAATGCTTGTGGAATATCCAAGTGAGGATATCCAGTAAGCTGATGTAAGTGAGAGATTTAGGTATAAAAAAAAAAAAAATCTAAGCTAAAAGGTAGAATTTGGGGGTTATCAACATCAAGAAGGTAATTGCAGTTATAGGGAAAAGAGAATGAGAAGAGAATAAAGAACACCAGTATTTAAGAGATAACCAGAGGAAGAACCTGCAATAGAGACTAGGGAGCACCAGTGGAGGTGCGTGAAAACCTAGAAAGTGTGATGTCATGAAAGCCAGGGGAATATTAAGTGCTAAGTGATAGACATTATCAAATACTAAAGAAGAACCAAGTAATATAAATACTAAGCTTTTAACAAAAGAAAAATTAGTGGTGACTTTGAGAGCAACTTTTACTGGTATAGTAATAAAAACTACAGTAGGTTGAGGAAGCAGAGATAACTATTGTCGAGTCTTTCAAGATTGACTATAAAGCAAATAAGGTGAATCAGTACGTGACTCATCATGTACTGCTGCCGCTCTTTTTTTTTTTTTAAGATGAGAGTGATTTATGTATATTAAATGCCAATAGGTAAGAAATCAAGTGAAAGGTGAAAGAAATCGAAAGGGCAAAATCATTATCAGCAGGTTAGTTGGTAAGCATGGATTTAGTTATTTTTAGACATTAGCTAAAATAGTCCAGTGCATCCATAATTATCTTGCAAGTTAAGCCTAAAAATACATAGATTTGGGCTTCCCTGGTGGCGCAGTGGTTGAGAGCCCGCCTGCCGATGCAGGGGACACGGGTTCGTGCCCCGGTCCGGGAAGATCCCACATGCCGCGGTGCGGCTGGGCCCGTGAGCCATGGCCGCTGAGCCTGCGCGTCTGGAGCCTGTGCTCCACAACGGGAGAGGCCACAACAGTGAGAGGCCCACGTACCGCCAAAAAAAAAAAAAAAAAAAAAAAAATACATAGGTTTACTTTCTGTAACCCCTGAATCCTATATCCATTACTAGATTAGAGACAACCTTAACGGTGACTTTGACAAATCTTGGTGTCTGTGGTCAGGCACTACTCACATTTGTTTCTGTTGACCCTCTTCTCTGTTTTCATGTAAAACCAATGTCCTTTTGACTGATGTAGTCTTTGTTTTTGTTATATTGTTGCATTAATTTTGACTTTTGTTGACCCTATAGCTATTATGTCTTTTTTAAGATCCATTTTTAAGATAACATCTCTTCTCAGCTTGCTTTTGTGTTGCTTTTACTATTGAAGGCAAGTCTTGCCTTACTTTTTGATTCTTGGGGGGAAACTCACCATAACTTCCTGAGAAAATCACCTATAGTTTGTTAAAGTAGAAGTGAATGAGCACACCTACTCTTATATGATGACTCTTTGAAATTACTGGATTAAGAAAGTATTATTGGCCTAGAATGAAGAGGTCTATTCACTTCTTAAATATTAATTCCAGAAATGCATTAGATGCCTGTTTTGTGTGCCAAGAGTGGAAAGGTATAATTGAAAGGCTAGAAAAGATTCTTGCCTTAACAGTTTATAGCTTAATGAGAAGGACAGCATTAAACAAATAATTATACAAATAATTTTTCATTACTGTTTGAGAATTGATCTAGGGATGGTATAGAGTCCTTTGCTATTCTTAGTCTCCTCTTAAATTGTAAGTAGGGCCTATATCTTATCTATGTATTATAACTCTACAACCTTGGAGTGAATTGGTATATGTTGGCATCTTCCAAATAGATTTTTTTTTTCCCCCGGTACGCGGGCCCCTCACTGTTGTGGCCTCTCCCGTCGTGGAGCACAGGCTCCGGACGCGCAGGCTCAGCGGCCATGGCTCACGGGCCCAGCCGCTCCGCGGCATGTGGGATCTTCCCGGACCGGGACCCGTGCCCCCTGCATCGGCGGGCAGACTCTCAACCACTGCGCCACCAGGGAAGCCCCCAAATAGATTTTAATGGCAAGATTATTTTCATCTGGACTTGTATTGATTGCCTGGACTTCACTGGAAGATAAAGATGAATAGTAAACTGGAGATCTTGATTTTCCCTTTTGCTCTAACATCTTCTATTCCAAACTTAAAATATGACATCAATTTAATTAGCTATACAGTGAGAAATATGCCAATGTGTTGAATACAAAATACTAACATCCTTTTCTTTTGAATTCTTTTTGTAGAATCAGATTATTCTTACTACAACTTAATCCTGAGGAAAGCTGGACAGTTTTTAGACAATTTACATATCAATCTCTTAAAGTTTGCTTTCTCTATAAGGGCATACTCTCCAACTATTCAGATGTTTCAACAGGTATGTAAAAATACCCAAACTATATTTGACAAAGAAGCATGCTAGCAATGTACATACATGTATCTTAATGTGAATATCTTTAGCTAAAAATCTCCAAACTTGTAATACCTGCTTCCATAGCCTATCATTGATTATATTTTCATTGTTACCATTGATTATAGTATAATTGAGTATTTTAGGTAATTTTGTAGGTATTTGGGATAAGGCAGTTACGAAGACTAATCACCAGTGAAGTGAACTGTAGTGACAATTTTAACTTAATGGGATGTTTTCAACAATTTCAAAGCATGTTTTCCTCCTGTACAGTTGATTTTGTTAAAATGTTTGATTCTGTCTATGTATTTTTACTTTAATTAGAGCAATAACTTAATAGTTGGTAAGCTATTTTAATCAAAATAATGTGTAAGTTTAAAAAATGATATTGTAATTATCAACTACTGTAGCTAAGTGTAATCTTTGAAATCTTAGATTGCAGCCGATGAGCCTCCACCAGATGGCTGTGTTGCATTTGTGGTCATCCATGAGAAACACACGTGTAAAGTTAATGAGATTAAAAAGCTGTTGAAGAAGGCTACTTCAAGGTAAATTAATGATCGGCCATAGTGAAAGAAGTGGTTTATAAAAAGAGATGAGGGGTGAAATAGAAACTTCTTCTAATAAAAGATTTTAATATTCCAAGACATTGTATATTAAAGAATGTGCTCTCAATATATCTAAATCCTTCTTTAAAGTATATAAGTACTTTCAATATTCCACCTTGATTAGCTTTTGATTTTAGAATACCAAAATACTGTAAAATATATGAGAGATGTATTTTATGTAACGTAAGTTGTTTTTGCAAATACAGGCAGACCTCAAAGATATTGTGGGTTCACTTCCAGACCACCTCAGTAAAGTGAATACTGCAATAATTGACACACATTTTTTGGTATCCCAGTGCATATAAAAGTTACGTCTACACTACACAGTAGTCTGTTGAGTGCCCAACAGCATTATGTCTAAAAAAATGTATACCTTAATGTTAAAATACTTTATTGCTAAAAACTGCTAACCATCATCTGAGCCTTCAGTGAGTCAATCTTTTTGCTGGTGGAGAGTGTGAAATATTGCAAGAATTACAAAAATGTGACATAGAGACAGCAAGTGAGCAGATGCTGTTGGAAAAATGGTGACCATAGACTTGCTGGACACCATTGCCAAAAATCTTCAATGTGTTAAAAATGAAATATCTGTGAAGCACAGCAAAGCAAAGCACAATAAAGTGAGGTATGCCTGTAAACATACAAAGCTGTGGATTTATCTAAGCTGTATCTCTTTAAATAGAAACTGAATGTATACCTTGGGAGTAAAAAATTAATAACAAAAACAGTAGTATAGAATTGCTTTTTTATAATGCATTATTCAAAACCTTTTTCTTCTTCCAAGTATTTAATACAAATGAATATGAGAAGTAGGAAGGAGATTATTAATTTAGTAGTGATTTTTACAGCGTAATGCCTGCCAGTATATGTTTTACTGCCTGATTGTTTATACTTTAAGAAGTATTAAAGTTGTTTCTCTAATTTTGAAAGAGTTCTTTATATATTAAACAGTAACTTCTTTTATTTGTCGGAAACTTTTTCTAATATTTATTTATATTAATTTTAATATAGAGAAGCTTTTATTTTTACGTAGCCAAATTTGTCCTTTATGTATGTATGTTTTTATACTTACACAGTTTTTCCCAAACCTGAGTGAGAGATTTTACTAATATTTCCCAGTAGCTTTCTTAAAGCTTTTGTTTTACCTTAAACTTTTAAACTATCTATAATTTATTTTCTTAGGAAGGCAAGGATCCAGTCAGATCTTTTTCCCCTCAGGTGGCTAGTCAGTTATTATATTCATTATATTTATATTATGGTCTATTTTATAACTTTGTTCTATACTGTTATGTTTCTTGTAACAGTACCATGTTGTTAGTATTTATTGCTTTACGATTTATTCCGGTATCTCACAGGACAGTTTCCTCTTCATTGCTGCTTGTTTATCCTCCAGAATTTCTTAGCTCTTTGCGCTTGTTGATGCTTTCAAACTAACATTAGAGTCCTTTTTCTCCTACCAAATTGCCTCCAGAAAACGCCTTGGTTGGGTTTTAATTAGAATTATATTAAACCTATTAGTTAATTTTAAAAGAATTTAAATGTTTATTATGTCAAATCTCTCAACAGATAACATAGTACGTTTTCTGTTCATTCCTTCTTTTAAAACTTTAAAGTTTTATAATTTACTGTGTTTTTAAAATCAGAAATAACTTGTTTTATCAGTTGTTTTGCATCTATTAAGATTAATTTGAAGTTTTTCTCTTTGGACGTACTGTGTATTATGGTAATATATTTTAAACTATTACACCTTTTCATTTCTAGGGAGAACTATTTGTTAATGGTGTGGGATTATCTTAATTTTTGTTGAAGTAAGATTGCTTATATCTTTATTAAGATTCATTTTTCTTCTTTAATGAGATTAGCTATTATTTAAACTATTTATGCCATTTTTTAATGTTATTCTAGCTTCATATAGTGAATTAGGCAGCCATGTCATTCTGTAAGAATTGGTGTAGCATAGCAATTACCTATTTCTCTAAAGCATTAATAGACTATGAAATTGTCAGCCCTAATGTGTTTTTCTTTTCCTAGTGCATTTTTTAAAGTTAACTTTGGTAACTTTATTTTTTAATTTAATTTAATTAATTTATTTATTTTTGGCTGCATTGGGTGTTTGTTGCTGTGCACAGGCTTTCTGTAGCTGCGGTGAGTGGGGGCTACTCTTCGTTGCCGTGCGGTGGCTTCTCTTGTTGCGGAGCACGGGCTCTAGGCATGCAGCCTTCAGTAGTTGTGGCACGTGGGCTCAGTAGTTGTGGCTTGCAGGCTCTAGAGCACAGGCTCAGTAGTTGTGGCACACGGGCTTAGTTGCTTCGCGGCATTTGTGATCTTCCTGGACCAGGGATCGAACCTGTGTTCCCTGTGTTGGCAGGTGGATTCTTAACCACTGTGCCAACAGGGAAGTCTGGTAACTTTTAAAGTTTATTATTGTTACTGTTTTCTGGCATCTGATGTCTGATGTTATAATTTTCTTAGAGAAACTAATATTAAAGTTAAATATTTAATATTTAGATATTTAATCTAAAATTAAGATTAAAAAAAGGTTAACATCAAGCCGTTTGGGAGAGCAACCTGCCATGGATGCTGTGAGTCCTTGCATGTTCTTGCCTGGTCTGACCAGTAAAAAATGCAAGACCTGCTGTATACCTGAACCATTTCTCAGGGTTGTGTTTGTAGTGAGCAACCTTGAGGAACTAGGTAACGTTTCCTTCTGGAAAGAAGAACGAACTTGTTTACTGCTTGTTATAAAACTGGTTCCCCAAGTACAATGATCCTCAGGTGCAACGTACACCCACTGTGTAGTATCCATTTAGCTCCATATTTTGTCCCACAGCCCGCCTTGTGGAACTTGGGGAGCAAGTATAATGCTCATGCTGCTTGCTATGCTTTGAGCAATAAAAGTCCTTTCTCTTTGACCCAGGAGTCTCAGGTCTTCTGCCAGAATCCATAAAATGACAAAAGCCTAACTTACTACTTTGTAAGTAGACTAAAACCAAGCCTTAGACCTTTTATAGTTCTTGACGGTTTTAGAAACAAGAGTGGGATGTTGACAGACGCATGGCTTTCTGAAAGAGGAAGGACAAAGGCCCCCTGGGTTGGGGAGACAAAAGCTCAACACTTGGATTTCTTTGCTACTGCTCCCCTCTCTTCCGCCATTCTGCACTTCCTGTGCTCCTGGCTGGATGACAGCAGTCTTCTTCTGATACCTGCTACTGTAGCTCCTCACACAGGATGTTTGATCTTTGTTCGTACCGGAAAAGGCACCTAATCTCAATTGGTGGGCTTTGGAAGGTGCTCATAATGGGAAAGGGAATTAAAATGATCTCTCGACCAATTCATTGTACTTCTGTTTTTATTGTTTTGGCTCCCACATCTAAATCTATAACTGGTGTTGATATTGTATGTGTGTATACTTTGAATGCTGATGAAGTCTAAAGCGAGATACTCTCACTGGGAGACTACATATCTACTATCTACTCCCAGGTGGTCCAGCAGACTCAACATAGAATCCCAGGAGGAGAAGGGGGGAAATCACAACTTCAGTTACAGACCGAATGGCTGCTTGAATGCCCAGAGAGGTAGTTTCCAAGTACAATGTCGCCACCTGCCCGACTCAGCCATCAAGTACACCCATTTTTAAAAAGAGAAACTTAAAATTGTTGAGTTTTAGTTGAAACTGAACACCTGACTCAGGCAGTCTTGTGACTCTACTACCTGATGTTTACATTTTGGCACAGGTCAACTAGGATTCAGTGACTAACAGGGTAGAAGGGAGTCAGTGAGCCTCTCTGGTCAAGTGGAAATAGTATATTCAAGAGTTACTTAAACCTTGTGTGATCTTAGGGTTACATGATGAAGTGGCAGCAGCTCCCCTTTGGGACAAACCCATGCCCCATTCCATTACCTGAAGTAAAATCTCTGACTCAGTGGGGCCCTCAGTTCGCAATTGTTTCCTTTAATGCCTGGATCAAGTTACTGATACACTCAGCTAAGTTACAGTCTGGTGGTGACTTAGGGCTGCTGTTGCAGTTCATCCAGGCTGCAGCTATGAAAAACCAAAAGCAGATGTGGTCAGTCCATTCAGTGGGCAGAATTCGAGGTCTGACACTTGAAGACTACCAGATTAGAGGCACCAGTCTTTGGGGCTGTGCACCGTGAGAATAAGCTGCACCTGCCCATCTGACAGTCTGGGTTACTTCTGTAGATACACACAGTCCACACCCATTATCCAATGAGTCTGAGTGGAGTCGAGCTGCATGTCAAGACTGCAGCATCCAAATTGCTGCTGTTGCTACCTGGCTCCACCACTGCGTGGAAGATGCACCATTACAGACAGGAGCACGATAAAGGACTACATGCTTCTGATGTAAGATCTACCACAGCATACCGGGCTGTGGCCTCTGCCCAGAGATGGTTTCTTTGTCTTGTGGTAAAGGCGTCCGCATTGCACTGGGCCACCACCTGCTTCTGGAAAACTGACTATGTCAGATGTTTGACCCTGCTCTTGGTGCTACCTTTGGTACCTCATCCCTGTTGAGACTTCTTTACGTTATGGTTTCGCTACTTAAGTCCAATCAGCCAACTCTGGCCGCACCACTGTAGCCCTTGGATCTAAACTGTTATTTTTCTGGCTTTCCAGATCATCTATAGTCTGACAGCTATGCACCTTATTTCACAGAGGCCAGCAACACTAGATCAGTAGTCAAAAGCATTCACTGAACATTCCACATTCTCTACCACCCACAGGCATCTGGTTTCTGAGCATACTAGAATGGCCTCCTCAGAAATTAATTCGAAAAGTTTTGACTCTACCTCTCTCACCCTCTGATCCATAGGCTTTAGTAAGGCCGTTTGATCTCTGGATGTTACCATGCTCGGAAAGATTCCATCTCTTGGCCATCTCCTGTGAAATGGTTAGGATGAAAGAGGTAGGAGGTTGTATGGATTTGTTCAGGATTCTACCGTGACCATTGCTGGGTGTCATGTATCTTTCCTTCGGTCAACAGCAGCCTCAGATCATCCTGGTTGGTATGGCCTCCATGTGGTAGCCCAGCCAGAAGGGGCTTGAAGAATTCAAACTTTAATTTTGGTCTATCCCCCTGGATTGTTTAGTTGGAAAGATGTGGTCCTACATCATGAAGATAACCAGTTGGTTGAGTCCACTGCTTACCAAGTCTTTCTACAGTGACCACAGGGGCCTAGCTGGGGGCCTATAATGGGTCTTTGTAAGTTTCTTAAAAATGCTCTTGTCTCACTTGAACCTGATTCTTCCAGATGAAAGGTGTGGGTATAAATAGAGGATGATTTGAAAATAGGTAAAATTGTAGGTATTGGGATGGGACACATTGATTTCATGGCTACTGAGGTGGAAGTGCAAGTCTAGCACCTGACCTTAGGCTCTGAAGGTGTGGGAAGGGGAAACATTGTTTTCTTTGATCCTGGATCCAGCACAGCAGCCTGTCAAAATAGCCATACAGTCTGCCTGAGTCGGCCAGCAGCTGTGGCTGACAATCTGGCCTGCTGTGGGGTTTGTCATTCCTCTACATGCTGTGTGAACATGGCCAGTCCTGGGTCTGACTTGTGCCTGACTCCCATCAGTGGCAGCTCCTAAGCGTAGATTCCTCCCTCCCCCAAATTCATGTGTAAACATGTGGGCTGGACAGCCGCCTTTTAATCTTAATGATACAAATGTATATATACACTTCCATCTCCTGAGCAGCCTGGTTGATGCTGCAGCTACTAGGTGCAAGTTTAACAGTTTTGGAACTGGAGTGACACGTGCCATTTGGGGATTAAATGTTTGTATTTCTAGAAAGCAGGCACAGAATGTTTTCATTGGGGGTAGCGGTTGCTTTCTTATTATTGGGGGGGTGGATTCTGCCATAGCCCCGAGTGTCTTTCTGGGTATGGTAAGACTGTGAGGACTTGAATGGTCTGTGCCCAGGCCATTTCTCAGGGTTGTGTGCGGCAGGTGACTTTGAGGGATGAGTTAATGTCTGCCTCTGGGACAAGCAGCAGGTTGTTTACTGCTTCTTATAGGATGAGGGGCTCCCCGCATTCAGTGCTTCTTAGCTGTGGTGCGTACAGCTAAGCATTCTTGTGTAGCATTCTTGTGGGTCCATTTCCACCCTAATGGAATGCGGGGGCCACAGGGAACTGATGCAAACATGCTAAATAATGCTCATGCTGCTTATGTGCCAGGAGTAGTAAAGTTCTTTGTTTTTGACCTAAGAGTTTGTCTTCTGCCAGGATCCATGAAACAACAAAAGACAAACTTATTAGCTTGTAAGTGGGGTAAAATCAATTCCCTAACCTGACAGAAACTAAATGGGTATACATAGATATATATAGTGTCTTTTATATGTATACACACACACACACACACACACGTTGTTATATATGTGGTATATGTGTGTATGTATATATGTATGTATGTAGTGTTAATCATTTTTTTTCTTTTTTTGTGAACCTTATGCACATAATCCTTGGTTTATGTCACACTATCAACATTGGTCCATGGTGGTGGTTTTTTCTCATTTAAGCAAATAATGTATTTACACACACACACACACACACACACACACACACAGTAATAGGAACATTTTAATTTTTTCCCTCTCTGTAGATGTTTCTCATTCCTAAGTTTTCTTCAGTTTTCATTTTTTTTCAGTTTTTCCAGATTAGATTTATATTTTTTAAAGAAATAACTGATACACTTATTATACTTTTTTTTTGTTCTAATGTATTACCATTTGCATTCATATTGTTTCTTATTTTGCCTTTGGTTGAGCTAGGAATGTGGTTTTTTTTCTTTTAATCATAACACATTTAGGGCATCAAAGTTATCTTTCTTTACTATATGGTATTCTTGTCCCAATTTCCTAAAAAACTCCTTTTATTTCCTTGTTGGGGGCAGGGGAGGAGAGAAAGTTATACTCATTTAGGACGGTGACGATTGCTGTCACTTTCTCCCAAATAAATAAATGACATTTTAGTGTAATATCTGTCAAGTTTGGGGCAGATTCAGACCATGGATCTTTGAACCATGGAACAGGAAGTAGAGAGAAAAAGAATTACGCTATCTTTCTTTTTGTCTAGTACATTGCTGTATTTCAAGTGGTAAGGTGTAGTATGTTTTAAGTAGGAAGACATCAGTTATGATTCTAAGTTAAACGGCATAGATTTTATAATTACTGGGTTTTACTCCCAAATTATAGTATAACGTTATTATTAGTTTTCAGCTTCATTAAGAGTTTTTGTTTTTTTCTGTGTCTTTGAAAATATCATTGGAGATTCTGGGAAATGTAGCATTAAGGTCTGCTCTCCAAATGCCACTTCAAATCTGTGTTACCCTCCTTTTTTTGTCCAAAGTGGAAAGCTGCATTTTTTTTTAATTTTTACTTTTTAAAAAAATTTTATTGGAGTATAGTTGATTTACAAAAGCTGCATTTTAAAGTTAAAAATATTATATGTGGTCATTATTTAAAAAATTCAAAGAATTCAGAAAAAATACAAAGTAGAAAGGGATAATGACCCATAATTCTGTTAAGTTTGGTACATTTTTTTCTTTTTAAATACATATATTCACATGCAGATATATTCTTTTTTAAAAAACCTACATGGGATTGTACTATAAAGGATGTTTTAGAACCTTCCCCCACTGAATTATACATCCCTACATTTCTTGCGTATAAATAAATATAAATATAGGTCTATGCTTTGTCATTGTGGAGCGGGACCCATTTATATAGTGTTGTATTTCCACCTGACACATAGTAGATGCTCAGATATTTATCAAATGAATGATACTGTGATTAAATGAACAAGTACATTTAATTATCCCACCCCTTGTGATAGATATAAGGTATTTTACATTTTTCCTCTATTATAAACAATATCTAGTTGAACGTCCATGTACATATATTTTTATGTACATGTATCGTTATACTGTTGATATTAGATAAATTTCTAGAACTAGAATCACAAGGTAAATAAGTGTATGCATTTAAAATTGGTACATATTTCAAAATTTTTCTTCAGAAAGCTGGTTATGTTTCATACTCCATTTCTAACATTTTCACTAATGCTAATTTGTATGACTTCCCTTTATAATCTTAGTCAATTCAAGAAATGTAATTTCCTATTTTTAAAAGTAATCTAGTCGATTTTTAAAAGCTGTTTTCCCTCTTACGAAGTAATTCTCCATACATGTAGTATAATTTTTTATTACCTATGATGTATCCATGTGATTCCTGAATTAATTAAAAAAGCAGACTTTGAAAGGTATGTGTTTTATGGTATAAGAAGGCACTCACCAGGGCTTCCCTTGTGGCGCAGTGGTTGAGAGTCCGCCTGCCGATGCAGGGGACACGGGTTCGTGCCCCGGTCTGGGAGGATCCCGCGTGTTGCGGAGCGGCTGGGCCTGTGAGCCATGGCCGCTGGGCCTGCGCGTCCGGAGCCTGTGCTCCGCAGCGGGAAAGGCCACAACAGTGAGAGGCCCGCGTACCGGAAAAAAAAAAAAAAAAAAAGAAGGCTCTCACCATTACAGACTCATGAACAAATGTTATATTAACCTTTACCTTTGTCTCTGAAAAATCTATTTCATTTCTTCTAATTTTTTTCTTTTATATTCAACCTCAAGATTTATCTAATAGCATTAGCAGCCTTTCCAATTACCAACATTTGAAAACATTTATCTTTAATACTAATATTAATTTCATTGTGAAGATAGAATTTACTAATATGTATAAAGAATCTTGCATAGTGCCTGGAAAATAAGATGTCAAAGTCTGTTTATGATGGTAGGGCCAGACCATAGGACTGCTCTGTTTGTTTGATTATCCTTCGGGATTTAATGAGTTGTTATTCATATTAAGAACTGATAATCTTTGCATGACATAGTACCTTTGTTTTTTAAAGATTTGGAGCCCATTTTCAGGGAATGTGAGCTATAATGAAAGGTTATATTCCTCTAATTGAAGAAAATATAAATTTTATTTCATCAAAAAATATGTTGCCATTTATATTTTATTTTATTTTATTTTATTTTTTATTTTTTATTTTTTTGCGGTATGCGGGCCTCTCACTGTTGTGGCCTCTCCCGTTGCGGAGCACAGGTTCCAGACGCTCAGGCTCAGCGGCCATGGCTCACGGGCCCAGCCGCTCCGCGGCACGTGGGATCTTCCCGGACCAGGGCGCGAACCTGTGTCCCCTGCATCGGCAGGCGGACTCTCAACCACTGCGCCACCAGGGAAGCCCTATATTTTATTTTTAAAGATAGCAAACATTGATTGAAAATAAAATATTTTTAATATTCAGTGTTGGGCTAACCAAATTTATTTTTTGTCTTTTCTGTCATTCAGAAGTTCTGTTCACAGAGTCACCACAGGAAATCTAAATTCTTTTTCTGTGATTTTATGTATGTGTCTGTGTGTATGCATATACATACATTCCTATAAGTTTGATAAGTAAAAATTATAAAGTTTCACGACATGTTTCTCATATGCTCTGCTTTCAGTTCTTGTTTGTGTTTTGTTTTCATTTTAGGCCCAGACCTTATCTGTATAAAGGAGACCACAAATTTCCTGCAAACAAAGAGAACTTACCAGTGATTATCCTCTATGCAGAAATGGGTACCAGAGCATTTCGTAAATTTCACACGGTGTTGTCTGAAAAAGCTCAAAATGGGGAAATTCTTTATGTTCTTCGGCATTATGTTCAGGTACGTGTTTGTTTTGTCCAAGATTATTTTGGCTATAAAAAATACATTTTATAATTATTTCTTTACTAGATTTTACATGATAATTTCCCCTAGAATAGTTATTTAAAGATTTTTTTAAATTAACACAACTATCACATGTGAATTTTATGTGGAAAAATATATTGAGATTCTGTGTCTTTTCTGGAAGTATCATGTTTATATTTCTTTCCTTTATAATATATTTGGAACAGATTTAAAACTTGGATAAAAAACAAAACCGTACAACAATAGCATGGGTAATACCTGCTAGGATTCATAAATATAGTTATTTTGAATGAAAATGTATCATGATGAGGAGGTCTAATTTACTTGGTGTTTTGATAGTATATATTAGTTCAGAGTGCTAAGCTTGGTATGCAAATGCTCTCAAACCTATTTGTTTGAAAGGCTGATTACTTACTTATGCAAGTTTCAGATCAAATGTGTTGTGTTATCCCCGTCTCCAGAGCTCTCGTTGCAGTCACACTCTATCACATTATTCTGTTTTAATGACTTCGTAGCACTTATTACTGTGCTGTCTCTAATTTTATTTCTTTAACACCTACACACACACACACACACACACACACACACACACAAACACAACCAAACTGTCACCATCACACATTAAAATATAATGGCCATTAGAGGAATGACTTTGTTTTTTACTTCTATATTCTGAACATGGAAAGAGTGTTTTAATTTGCATTTCCCAAAATATTCATGATGAATTTAATGTTTAAAGTAATAAAAGCATTACAGATATACTTAATTGCCTATCCATATCTTTTGCCTGTTTTTATATCAGATTCTTTGGGGCTTTCCTCTCCCATTTACAGATTTTTAAAAACATATTCTGAATACTGGTCTTCTACACTCTACAAACATCTTCTGTGTATTTCTGGTCTCCCGGTAATAAAAAATATATATGTCATATTTCATTTAGTGCAAGTATTAATTGCAGTTGTACTCAAATTTACCCAACTTTTCCTTAATGGTTTCCTTCATGATGCCATAAAGACATTTTCTTATATTTTCTTGTGAGAATTAAAGTGCTGTTCTTTGTGTTTTGCTTTTTAATTCATCTGGATATATTTGAATTTGCTGTAAGGTAGAGACATAATTTTAGTTCCATATGGAAATTCATTGGTCTCCACATGATTCATTGGACAGTTAACTCTTTATACTAATCCATCATATGCCAAGTTTTCATAGGCATATATGTTTTTAGACTCTATTCTGTTCCAATAATACATCTAATTCTATACAAATATAGCATTATTTTAATTGTAGTAGCTTTAAAATTTAAAGCAATATTGAAAAAGAGGAACGAAGCTGGAGGCATCACACGTCCTGATTTCAAACTATATTAGAAAGCTGTAGTGATTAAGACTATATGGTATTGGCATAAAACAGATACATATAGAGCAATGGAACAGAACAGAGAGCTGAGAAATAAACCTATGCATATATGATCAACTAATATTTAACAAGGGAGCCAAGAATACTCAATGGGGAATAGATAGTCTCTTCAATAAACGGTGTTGGGAAAACTGACAGCCACATGAAAAAAATGAAACTGGACCCCTATCATATAGCACTCAAAAAGATTAAGTCAAAATGGACTAATAATCATAAAATCTGAAGCCATAAAACACCTAGAGAAAACATAAGGGAAAAGCTTCTTGACATTGGTCTTGGCAGTGAGTTTTTGGATTTGACCCTAAAAGCAAAGGCAATAGAAGCAAAAATAAACAAGTGGGACTACATCCAACTATAAAAGCCTCTGCATAACTAAGGAAACCATCAACAAAATGAAAAGGCAACTTACCGAATTGGAGGAAATATTTGCAAATCATATATATGATAAGGGGTTAATATCCAAAATACAAGAGGAACTCATACAACTGAAGAGCAAATGAAAAGAAACAGTTCAACTAGAAAATGGGCAAAGGACCTGAATAAACATTTTTCTAAAGAAGACATGCAAATAACCACCAGGTATATGAAAAGGTGCTCAGCATCACTAATTGTCAGGGAAATGCAAATTAAAACCACAGTGAGATGCCACCTCACACCTGTTAGAATAGCTATATGTCAAAAAGACAAGAGTTAACAAGCATTGGTAAGGATGTGGAGAAAAGGAAACCCTAGTGCACTGTTGGTGGGAATGTAAAATGGTACAGCCTCTCTGGAAAACAGTATAGAGGTTCCTCAAAAAGTTAAAAATAGAACTAGCATATGATACAGCAATTCCACTGATGGGTATATATCTGGAGGAAATGGAATCGCTATCTCAAAAAGCTATCTGCACCCCCGTACTTGTTGCAGCATTACTTATATAGGAGTAACCTATGTGTCCAGTGATGGATGAATAGATAAATGTGGTGTGTGTGTGTATATATACACACATGCACAATGAAATATTATTTGGCCTTAAAAAAGAAGGAAATCCTGCCATTTATAACAACATGGAAGGACTTTGAGGGCATTATGCTAAGTCAGACAGAAAAAGGCAAATATCATATGATCTCATATATGGAATGTGAAAAAAACCAAATGCATAGAAACAGAGAACTGATCGGTGGTTGCTGAAATTGAGGGGTGGGGAGGGTTGATGGGTGAAGGTGGTCAAAAGGTACAAATTTCCAGATATAAGATAAACAAGTTCTGGGGATGTAATGTACAGCATGATGACTAAGTACTCTATTGAATATTTGAAAGTTGCTAAGAGAGTGATCTTAAAGTTCTCATTACAAGAAAAAGACAACTGTAGCTATGCGAGGTATGGACATTAACTAAATTTACTGTGGTAATCATTTCATAATACAATTGACCCTGAACGACTTGGAAGTTAAGAGCTCCAACACTCTGCACATTCACAAATCTTTGTATAGCTTATAGCTGGTCCTCCGTATATACGCCATTCCTCTGTATCCACGGTTGAGCATATGCAGATTCAACCAGCCATGGGTTATGCAATAGTGTAATATTTACTATTGAAAAAAATCCATGTGTAAGTGGACCAGTGCAGTTTACGCAGTTCAAACCCATGCTGTTCAAGGGTTTGATTTGAATTGATATCAAATCATTATGTTGCACACCTTAAACTAATACAATGTTATATGTCAATTATCAGAAAAGGAATGGGAGATCAAAGTATATGTTTATCTTTTTTAAAAAAGTCCCCCAAGTGGTTTTAATATGCACCCCGCCCCCGGATGGTATAGTCATCTGTTGGGAATCAGTGTCCCAAGCTATTATTTGGAGAATGTGACCATTAAATATACTTCTGTGAAAGCATATTCACCAGCTATCTGGGTACTTTGTAGCATCAAATTATGGCCTTCTATTTAATTAATGACATATTGTACATCCAAAATAGTTATACTGTAAATCTAGTCAGCATGTAATCCTAATAAAAAATAGACTTATTTGTGCTACTTTTTAAAAAAACTTATTATTATGATTTTTTTAGTTGTGTTGGGTTTTCATTGCTGGTGCGTGGGCTTCTCACTGCGGTGGCTTTTCTTGTTGCGGAGCGCAGCCTCTAGGCGTGCAGCCTTCAGTAGTTGTGGCACGCGGGCTCTAGAGTGCAGGCTCAGTAGCTGTGGTGCACGACCTTTGTTGCTCCGCAGCATGTGGGATCTTCCCAGACCAGGGCTCGAATCCGTGTACCCTGCATTGGCAGGCGGATTCTTAACCACTGCGCCACCAGGGAAGTCCCTGTGCTACCTTCTGAACAGATGCTTTTTTGTGGGGAAAGAAGAAATAGGATAATGAAGAAAGATTTTTTTTCACCAGTTGATTTAGCCTATGAGCATTTTAGGTTTGCAAATCCAAAATTATTAAACTACAATTCAAATTTTATATCAATACCTTTCAAAAGGAGAAAGTAAATATGAAGTTAATAAACATTTATCTTTATTATTGAGGAGCTGGTAACATTCCAGAACTGATCATGGAAATTGGTTATGTGAAATTGCATTTCTTTTATGAACTATAACAAGATATGTGGACTTAGAGGTTCAGTTTGCCTAGCCACCAACTGATTGTCTTTTGAGTGGATAGTCAAAATACATTTTTAAATTGAGCTGGATGAAATTGAAAACTCTTTAAAAGATTTTCAACTTTGTCAGATTACTATAATTATAAACAACCCAGTGTCCTCATGCTATCTTTCATTATAGCATGTGCCTGAGAAATTAGCAAATTCAATTTTAGTGTGGGCAGCAATGTTAAACACTTGTCTGCATATCTGAAACTAATTCTTACATCATCTTATTTAGAAATAGAACAGTCCAGGAATAGTCACTATGGTCATATACTTATTTTGAAGGCTGAGGCAGAAGTTTAGGGAGGAAAGAAGAGACTAAAAACCGTAGTACACCATTAAGGTTTTCTTTCTGTTTGTCCTCTGCCTCTTCCTCTGTCATGTTTAGAATTGCAAAACTGCCCTCATGCAAACGTTAGTTAAGCAAAGACACATAACATCTTCACAGGAGTTTGCTGAGTGCTAGATTAAATGCGTTTTCTAACCCATGAAAGAATATGCCAAATGGTCATGATTGTAGCACAACTGGTAAGAATTTCAGTCTAGAAGCTAGAAAGAACCTTAGACATCTTCTAAAATATTACATATATTCATCCAGGTTGCTTACTTTTTTGAAAAAATGTGATGACTTCTCTTCCTTCACAGAGTAGTCTCTAGAAGTACGTTTTATGTTTGCACTTTTGGAAAGGTGAAAGAAAAATCACCAAATGCTGATCATAAATACTTCAGACAACTCAGTTTTAGGCAAATTGTTACCTCTCACTGCAAGAATAGGTATTAATTTGTGGCATTTGGTATATTTTAATCATTGAGAAGCATGAAGAAAGACTTATAGGTTGTTCAAGGCACTGAGCTTTTTTGTTTCCTTTGCCTCTACTTTCTAGTATTTGCTTTTGGGGACACTCTGGATGTCCTACATGCAGACAACTAGCAAATGAATAGCATTTACTGGTTTAGCAAATCTTGTGTAGTTCCCCCAAAAGAGTATAGTTTTGTTGAAACTCGATTGTATGGGATCCTCTGTTAATTAATTCATGGGAAAGATGGCAAAGTTACCATGGTATAACAGAAAAAGATCAGATTTTCTTTTCATTGTAAAGTAATTAAAACATCAGAGTCATGACAAGGATTTTAGAAAGTAAAGAAGTGGTAATCAACCAAATTCTAGTTCCTTGATAGACTGTCTAGAGAGAGTATAAACATCCCCCTTATATTTCACAATGATTAGTTCAATATTAGTAATTTACCCTAATGTCCTAATACACAGTCGTTCTGAATTCAAAAGCAGATGTTTGACTAAATATTTTCTCTCTCTCTCTCTCTTTTTTTTTTTTTTTAAATAAATGTGTTTGAACAGAAACCAGCCTCACAGAAAATGTACTTATCTGGCTATGGTGTGGAGCTAGCTATTAAGAGTACAGAATACAAAGTGTTGGATGATACCCAAGGCAAAAGTAAGTTTATTCTCTGTATTCGAGTAGAATGAAAATTTGGAGGCTTATACACTTCAGTTGAAAAAAGAAAATGACTATAATCCTACACACGTTAATTTGAGGCTGGAGACAGGGTAGACATGTTCCTCCTTAGTTGGAATTTAACTTTAAACTAAAAGAAATACATTTCATACTATTGTGCTCTCAGAAACTTCAAAAAGTGGAAGTAGCACATTTGCTTTTACTCAATGGCTTTCCAACCATTTTCTGCAACATATAAAAATTGATAGTATCTGTAGGGTATGTAGAAGCAATAGATGAGGCTGCTTATGGCTAGAGGTGACTGACCCAGGAGCTCAGACTGGCCATGATGTGCCCAGTCACCCCCTGGGAGCAAGGGTGGGGGGGCTCTAAGGGGATCAGTATCTCAGTAAACCTAAAACTCATTGGTAGCACTGCCTTACAAGTCTTGGTCTGAAGTATTTATAAATAGTGAAGTTAGGATGATGGTCTTGTGTTTTTGCTTTTGTTTTTGTTTTGAAGTGGGATGGAGAGGGCTGTGAGTTGATTGGTTAGATGAAGTAGATTGATTAGATTTGTGATCTACCAGTCCAGTGTCTATGTTCTGTGTACTGAATGCATGCTCTAGGTGAAGGATTCTGGAGACCTAAAAACACTAAAGAACTTTTCAGATTCTTATGGAAATCTTTTGTTACCTGGCTCATTGGAAATGTATTTGTACCTGATTCTTGGTTAAGAGTTTCTAATTCATTCGTTTATATGGTCTCAGATGTTGCTTCTGCTACAATTTTGTTTTTCTATTCAAGACCTGGTCCTGGCAGCCCTACCCTGATCACAGCTTAGCTCTAGCCCTCCTATTGAATGTGCTACAAATCAACATTTGTATTATTGTGACTGAAAATCCTGCTGGTTAAAGTGTTACTGAAAAAGTATCGTAGAAATAATAATGCCCAGATTTTATATATTTTCATATAGCTTGTATATAGCTCTACAGTGCTTTATAATGTAGTATCTTGTTTAACAGTCATGGTAGTAACATAAGGCATTTTCTAGCCATCCTTGGGCTTGTAGAACTTTTTTTAAAAAGTCATGTGATCACATGTATTTCTATATTACAAGTCGCACATTAAATTTTGTCGTACATTCGGAATATATTTTCTCTCCATTCTAGTTGCCACTCCTTTAGCTCACTTCTTTTTTTCCCTCTGTATATGGGTGTCAGGCTTCTAACTGACCTCTTCAGTACCCCTAGTCCCCTCATCCCCCAAATAGAATAATCCATCTGTTCTCCACAGTGCTTTCTGACTGCACTTCTTATGATGAAAATCTGACTTTATGATTCCACCAGTTAAAATCCCGGACTGGTTCCCTGTAACCTCCTCATAAATTCAAGTACTATATAGCATAACAGAGAAAGCTTTTCACATTCTGGCCTCTTTCTGCCTAATCACTGTCCCTCAGCCCTCTCATTTGTACACTGTGGTCCTGTAACACTAAACTACTATACAGAGTAATTTTCTGTTCCCTGGATGCCTCCATGTGTGGCTCCCTGCCCAGCCTTCGTGACCTCTGTAGAGAACTCTCATCCCTTAGCATATGCTGTTCCTGCTGCCTGAAACCTTCCTCCTTTCTCCCACCTCTTTTATTCATCTAAGGCCTATTCATCTTTTAAGGATCATGTATATCAGTCAGTACCTCTGAGATGGCTGTCCATCTTCCTGCTCTGTCAGAGGAAGGTTTTCCCTCTTCTGTATTCCACATATTTTGTGCTTTCTTTTGGAAAAGTTTTAAACAGTCTGTTAAAATTGTCTATTTGTCTCCTTTTCCACCAACTGAGGTTTGTGTCTTTTGCGTCTCTCTTCCTGGTGTCTGTCTGGCAGGCATCAGGCGTCATAGAAGGCAGTCGATAAATATTTACCTGATGAATGAATGGAAGGGAGGGAAAGGAAGACTGGATCAAAGCACCCAGTGTTTTTAGTTGCGGTCCTAGAGGTCCAGACTCTCAGACAAGTAAGAAGGGAGAAGTGTACTTGATGAGCTCTGATGGAGTGTAGCCCATACTGCTTACGGTCACAGATTCTTAGAATCCCAGAGTACCCTCACACATACCACTTACCACACAGTATGCTATAATTATTGGTAAATAAAGGAGAGGGGAAGAGAAATGAACATAAAATATATCCTTATTCTTTGAGGCCATGAGTTTTGGTGTCTTTCTAAAGATTTCTTGATTAGGTCTAAAGGTGTCAGAAATAATGTGAGAACTCCTGTATCTGTTAGGGTTTGGATTTCTTGCTGGCTTAAGAGCTAAGCCCAGGGTTCGTTGCACACCCCTTGGTTTATCATTCTGGTATAAAATAGAACTTGACTACGAAATGATCTATAGAGCACTTATGATGGTTTTAAAATATTTAATAATCAAGCTTGTTTAAAAAGAGAGCACACTCATGTCTCATTAAGCTGATCCATGAAAGAAAAACAAGGTAAAACAAATGGAATTTGATTTTATTTTGAGTTCTTCTAATTTTTTATTACATATTTTCCAGTCTGAAATATTTTCATTTTGCTCTTGTTTCCAAAATATAGCTGTGACTAATACTAGTATAGAAGATATTACAGAAACAAATGAAGTTCAAGGATTTCTCTTTGGGAAATTAAAGTAAGTTCTGAATTGAAATGAAACTATTACTATACTCTTAAATTTGTTTTTAAAGGACTTGATTCAATATTCTGGGTTGGCATATGTTTCACATTTTAAAAATATACATACTATTGTTTTTATTACAAAAGTAACACATGGTTAATGCAGAAAAGCACAAAATTGAAAAATAATCGCTAATTCCACAGGATAATGAGTGTGGTTAGAGACACTGGAATTGAAAGTGATCAGAGTTATCTCTGGCTAAAAACTAAAACAAAAATTTATGGAATCTTTTACAGATCTAATGGGTTACAAAAGTCATAGTTAATATTGGATTTTTAGCATGAAAAAAATTTCAGGTCTCGAAGAGAAAATATTTATTTCCCTAAATTTCTGTGCCATGTATTGCCATATTAAATACCTTTTAACTTCTGGTCTTAATTTCATATACACATATAAGTAACCTTTCAAAAAATTGAAGTTCTGTCCCCCTTTTTTTTTTCCTGCATCACTGATTGAGGACAAGGAATAGGATGGTGAGTGCTCTCTGAATGTTCATGGGTGGGGATTGTTGTCGTTTTATGTGTCGTTTCTCTTATTTACAAGAAGGGAAAGTTTATGATTCTATTATAAAGACAACATTAATTAAAAATAAAGAACCATTTTTATTAATATCTTTAGTTCTTATTTAGTATTACAAATATTTATAAAGGACACTTAGGTCCGTTCTCCTGGTGAGTAGATAACTGTACAGAATGAGGGGAACATTTTTCTACACTGTGCTCCTTCATACAGATGACTGAGTTATATTTCTACGGTTTACTGGACAAGTTGTATACTAGTGGCCTTAAAAAGTTAATGCATCTTGTAAAATGGATTTAAGTAAGATTTTTATTTAGTAGATAACATTTTTATTCCATTTCCAGCTGTGTCTTGCATCTTAGAATCCACAGTTCTGTTTTTTTTTGGGGGGGGGGGTGGGTACACGGGCCTCTCACCGTTGTGGCCTCTCCCGTTGCGGAGCATAGGCTCTGGACGCGCAGGCTCAGCGGCCATGGCTCACGGGCCCAGCTGTGGGATCTTCCCAGACCGGGGCACGAACCCATGTCCCCTGCATCGGTAGGCGGACTCTCAACCACTGCCCCACCAGGGAAGCCCTGTTTTGTTTTAAATGTAACTATTTATGGGAATAAATTGCATGTCTTCCAGAAAGCCTTTGGAACCCTGGGATATTAGTTTTTTTAGATAGGAAATACTCAGAGTTAGTTTTTACACAACTAATTGATTTAGGCAAGAACCTTCTGCTTTGAGGTATTGTATGAATAATGTGTTTTTGCCTGAATTACATAAATGATTTTAGCTGTGAAAATTATTGTTAAGCTTATGATTAAACATGAAAAACAATATAACAGCTCTTATAAACTTAGTATTACTCTGTAACTTGAAATATTGAGAAAGGAGTGGTTAATTTAATTCATAGTGAACTTCTTTTCAAAGAAGTTCTTTTGCTTTCTCACTGTAAGAGCAGACTTGATTCATTTCCAAAATGTGGTCCCACATTGTAATAAAATTGCAAGATATGAAATTGTAGTACATTTATTATTGTTAACTATAAGATTAATCTATTTCTGTATATTTATTTTTCATCTCACATTTTAAAATATTTATTTCTCTTTACTGTTGAAAATATGTATTTGTTTATAAATTGTGCTGATAGCTAGATAAAGTTTTTTTAAAACAATTCTAATAATATGAAATGGTACTGTGTTTTGATTTCATGAGAGATGGAAGAATAAAGATTATAGTTTTTATTATATGTACAGTAAAATATGCTGCATTATTTGGCACTGTCTAAAAAATACCTAGATATGTTTAATTAGGCAGAATTATTTAAGTTTTTTATAAGTTTCAAAGCTGGAACTTTTCAGAAATAGAGTAAACTCTAAAATTGTATAGGAAGCATTAATGTCTTTCCTTATAAAATAGTGTTCATTTTTAATTATAAAAGCAAGACTTGTAATTTATAAAATGTTAAATAAAAAGTGTATAACATAGAAACTAATAATGCTGCCCTCACACTTGGATCCCTTACAGGTAATGTTAACAAATGAGAGTACATCCTTCCAGATTTTGTTTCCTTTTGTTTTGTTTTATACATTGAAAAAAGTAGACATGCATATCTCCCTCATTTTTTTTTAAGTTCTGTGGATATAGCTGCCTCACTATTTATTATTATCTTGATGAACAGTTAGTGTCTAAATATTTTGAAAAGTTAATTTCAAAAATATACTGCTTGTATAGTAGTAATTTGCAGTAGGTGATGATAATTAACATTACTTAATATTCTAATACAGAGAAAGATATTCAGATCTTAGAGATAATCTGACAACATTCCAAAAATACCTGATTGAGAGTAATAACGAAATGATGCCTTTGAAAGTCTGGGAACTACAAGGTATAGTATTTAAGTCCACATTAACATAGCATATTGGTAACTTATCTCTGTTTTGTTAAATAGGCTTTTATAGAATGTGATATAAATTATTTCATAGGCACTAATAATTACTAATGATGTGACTAATATACATTATTTCTGTGGCAGTACAAATTTAATTAAAAGGTTATTCATCAAGCAAACCATATTTTATGTTTGTAAGATTTAAAATTATATAAAGTACAGTTATTTGATATCATCTAATCATTTTTAAAGTGTACACGAGTTATAGATTCATCTCAGGTATTAAATCACATTTCAGAGAATCTTTAGCATTGATTAGAAATCCTGATTAGTAAGTCAGGAGAAATCAGAACTAAATCTTAGTTTTCTTCTCTTTAAAATTTTGATCTTAACAGACCATCGCATGTTTCATTGCGAACTTAGAATAGCTCCCGTACTGACATCCTATAAGCAGGTATTTTGAGACTGAACCAAATTTTGAGAATGAACCAAAATTCCTTTTCAGTTTGTAATTTTCTTTTTTATTATTTGTAATGTTTAGTGGGTCATGGGAATATGTCACTTTTCTGTGGAATCTATAACTTTTATCACATCTCATCGACTTTTTTTTAATATAACAACTTACTGAAATATACTTGATACGCAGTTCACCCATTTAAAGAGTACAATTCAGTGGGGTTTAGTATATTTTTAGAGCTTTTTAACTGTCAGCACAGTCAATTTCAGAGACCCATAATTTAGAAAATTGTAAGTGATAGGGTGCTTCTGAAGGCTGGTAAACAGAGAACATGCAAAGTTAGCTTACTTGTAATTAACCTCACTGATGTCTGTGGAAGGTATATTTGAATGGACTAGAAACAGGAAATCTAGTTAAGACATCCTTGAATTAGTGTAGCGAGAGATAGAACTATGACTGTGGTAAAAGGCATAGAGAGGAAGGCCAGATTTAGCAAATATTTAGGAGATGAAAAGAGTCAAAGATGAATTTAAAATTTCCAGCTTGGAGCCTGAGTAGAGAGAATATAAAACATGTAAGTGGGTTTGGGGGTTGAATACGGGGCCCAGAAATAATGAGACTGGCATTAAAAAAGATAGACTTAAAGTGATGGTGACATATCCAGATGACCAGGTCCAGTGGTGGGGTGAATATAAAGTCCTTATACTAAAAGGAGAAGATTTAAAAGTTGAAAATATTAGCATAGAGGTTTTTTAAAGGTGGGGGGTGCTAACTGAAAGTGTAGGGTGCCCAAATCAGTGCCCGAGGGAGTGTCCACGTGCTCGTCCACGTGGGGAGAGTAGACACAGTGGAATGATGAGAGCTAGAAGAAAGAGCACATTACAGAAGCCAAGGAAGTAGATTCAGGAGAGGGTAAGTGATCAGGACCTTTTCCTTTTTTGATTGATTTAACAAGTGTTTATTGAATTTCTACTAGGAGTCAGTCATGTCCCTACAGCCATGGTTTTATAATTTTTGGCTGAGACCTGGAGTAGGAAGTATATTTTACATCAAGACCCATACACAAGTGTATAATGTGTGAATACACAGATATGCTTGAAACTAAATAGAAAGCTTTAGCATAGATATGTATGTTTACCACATTTTATTAATTCTGTAAGACTTTTTTTAAAAAATGTATTTATTTATTTTTGGCTGTGCTGGGTCTTCGTTGCTGCACGCGGGCTTTCTCTAGTTGTGGCGAGCAGGGGCTACTCTTTGCTGCAGTGCGCGGGCTTCTCATTGCGGTGGCTTCTCTTGGCAGAGCACGGGCTTCTAGGGTGCACGGGCTTAGTTGCTCTGCGGCACTTGGGATCTTCCTGGACCAGGGCTCGAACCCTTGTCTCCTGAATTGGCAGGTGGATTCTTAACCACTGTGCCACTAGGGAAGCCCAAGACTTTCTTTTACTCTACCCTATTTCATTTGAGAAAAAAACCCTTCACATTATCCACTAATGTGATTTCACTACTAACTAATGGGTTCCAACTGACACTTTGAAAAAGTGCTGTATTCTGAAGATAAAATAAGAGTTAAAGCAAACACCACGTTTATTCAAAGGACCTTGGACAAACATAAACAACTTTAAAAACCAATGTAAAAATTAGCATTGCAATTGCTGCAAAGTAAAGGGACATAAGATGAAGAAGGGCATATACCAGGAAGATCTGACTGGTGGGATGGGGGCAAGGAAGGGGTAACAGAAAGGGGAGGGTTCCTCAAGAAGTGGTGATTGAATTGAGATCTGAGGAAGGACTAGAATAAATTTGAGGGTGGGTTATTTAGGGAGAATATCAAAGACCCTTTCAAGGGGCTGCAAATGGAGTGTGAGGGAGAGGAGATATCAGGAACAACTGCTGGATTCATGGTTTACCCAGCTGGATGGACAGTGGTGGATTTTCTGGAAAGAGAAGACTAAAGAGGACCAGATTTGGGCAAAGATGGGTGGGAATATCACAAATTTGTTATTGAACGTGCTGCTTTTGAAGTATCCAAGTGGTAAAACCAGAAAAACAGTTAAATATGGGAATCTGGATTTCAGAGGCAAAGTGAAGGACTTAAATAATTTATGAGTCATCTAGGTAGGGAATAGTTTAGAAAGAAGCAAAAGATGTTAATAGACTATGCTAATATTATATTCATTTACTTGTTATTTACAGTTTCTCTGATTTCATGAGTGAATTTTCAGGGGCTTTTGAACAGCATATGTGAAGCAAAATTCCATTCATGTTGTAAAAAGTTTTAAAAGACTAGTTATGCTATCAGACCTGAGTAAAATATAGTTGTCCATGGTCGTGATGATGATGGTGATTGGCGGTGATAAAAATATTAGCTAATACTATTTGTCTGGCACAGTATTGGGCTCTTTATATGCATCATCCTAATTAATTTTTTAAAAAACTCATGGGGTATTGATAGATATCCTGCTTTTACAGATGAGGAAACTGAGAAACATACACACAAAATAATTAGTCCGAGGTCACCAGTCTCATAAAGCACAAATCAGCGATACCTAAAATCAGCAGGTCTCTCTCATTTTAGAGTCTAAATTCTTTCTTTACCTCTATGTTGTACTGTTTTTAAGTATAACATCATGCAGCCAAATACTCTCAGGAAAGGTCTTTCATCATATACTATCCTCAAAAGAAATACTCTTTTGAAATGCAGATCAAAACTACAGTGAGATACCACCTCCCACTGGTCAGAATGGCCATCATCAAAAAGTCTAAAAGTAACAAATGCTGGAGAGGGTGTGGAGAAAAGGGGAACCCTCCTACACTGTTGGTGGGAATGTAAGTTGGTGCAGACACTATGGAAAACAGTATGGAGGTTCCAGAAACCTAAAAATAGAATTGCCATATGATCCAGCAATCCCACTCCTGGGCATATACCCGGACAAGATTGTAATTCGAAAAGATACATGCACCCCTGTGTTCACGGCAGCACTATTCACAATAGCCAAAACGTGGAAACAACCTAAATGTCCACTGACAGATGAATGGATAAAGAAGATGCGGTACAGGTATACAATGGGATACTACTCAGCCATAAAAACGAATGAAATAATGCCATTTGCAGCAACATGGATGCAACTGGAGATTATCATACTAAGTAAGTCAGAAACAGAAAGACAAATACCAAATGATATCCCTTGTATGTGGAATCTAAAGTATGGCACAGATGAACTTATCTACAAAGTAGAAGCAGACTCACAGACAGAGATCAGACTTGTGGTTGCCAAGGGTGGGGGAAGAGAGATGGAATGGGAGTTTGGGGTTGGTGGGTGCAAACTATTACATTTAGAATGGATAAGCAACAAGGTCCTACTGTATAGCACAGGGAACTATATTCACTATCTTGTGATAAACCGTCATGGAAAAGAATATGAAAAAAAGGATGTACCTATGTGGATACCTGAGTCACTTTGCTGTACAGCAGAGATGGGCACAACACTGTAAATCAACTCTACTTCAATTTAAAAAGATACATAAACAAAACAAAACAAGAAATACTCTTTTATAAGTTGTTATATCAATCATATAAGTAATGACTTTAAGTTTTCTTATCTAAAAATGCATAAATATATACACACCAGTTAAAAATTATGTCACTTAAAATTGCCTTTAATAGCAATAGAATAAGAAGACACATAAAGGATCTTATTTGTAAGTTTACTGTTCATTCACCCATTCATTCATCAATATTGAGCACCTACTTATGTATCAGGTACTTTTTTTGAGGTTAGAACATTTAAGTTCTACTCTTTTAGTACATTTCAATTATATAATACAATGTTATCAACTATAGCCACCATGTTACACATTAAATCCTCCGATTTTATTCAGTCTTAGAGCTGAAAGTTTGTACCCTTTTACTAGCCTTTCCCTGTCTCTCCCACCCTCAGCCTCTGGCAGCTACTTTTCTACTCTCTGTTTCTATGAGTTTGACGTTTTTTAGATTCCATGTATAAGTGATGCTGTGCAGTGTTTTTTTGTTTTCTTGTCTGGCTTATTTTACTTAGCATAATGCCCACACAGTCCATCCACATTGTTGCAAATGGCAGGATTTCCTTCTTTTTTAAGGCTGAATAATATTCCATTGTGTTTATATACACCACAGTTTCTTTATCCATCCATTTGTCCACAGAGATTTAGGCGGTTTACATACCTTGGCTATTGTGACTAACGCTTCAGTGAACATGAAAGTGCAGGTATCTCTCAAGATATTGATTTCATTTCCTTTGGATGTATACCCAGAAGTGGGATTGCTGGATCATATGGTAGTTCTGTTTAATTTCTTGAGGAATCTCTGTAATGTTTTCAATTGTGGCTGTAGCAGTTTACACGAGTTACTTGTATATTTTGAATAGTAACCCCTTATCAGATATAATGATGTGCAAATATTTTCCCCCATTACATAGGTTGCCTTTTCATTTTGCTGATGATTTCCTTGCTGTGCAGAAACTTTTTAGTATGATATAGTCCCACTTGTTTATTTTTCCTTTTGTTGTCTTTGTTTTTGATGTCAAATCCAAAAATTCGCTGCCAAGACCAGTGCTAAGGAACTTACCCCCCTGTGTTTTCTTCTAGGAGTTTTATGGTTTCAGGTCATAAGTTCAAGTCTTTAAAGTATTTTGAGTTGATTTTTGTATATAGTGTAAAATAGGGGTCCAGTTTTATTCTTTTGCATGTGGACATCCAGTTTTTCCAGCACCACTTATTGAATAGAAAGTTTTACTTTTTCTTGTCAGGAAGTGATCCTATGGCAGAAGGATCCTGGTAAGATAAGGACTGAAAAGAGTCCATTGTGTTTGCAATTAGGAGATTTTAGTGAGCACTGTTAGCTCCACTAGTGCTGGGGAGTGGAAACATTCTTAGGTAGGTTAAGGAAGTTCTATTTAGAGTTATTCAGCTGGTAAGTGATGTAGAGCTGGAGTTTGAACCTTGGTCTACTAGACTTTACCAGTCCATGGGAGGCTGCCCTGGGAACATCTTTTCTAGGCTTTGACTCCAACTGGATTCGCCACTGTACACTGAAAAGGTAGAAACAAAACTAGTCTCGCTATGATAAACTGGTCATTTTACTAGTATTTGACAAGCTAGGATTCCAATTCTGGTGAGATGTTAAAGAGAAACAAAATGCTTCACTATTAGGTAATGAAAGAATTCAGTTTTAAAATCATTTCTGACTCTTGACAAAGTAATGAGACGCAGATTACTGCTTTTGTCATACTTGAGACTAATTACAGTAAGCCACACGCACTTTTCTTTCCAGAGGACTATCATTTCAGGCAAAATCATACGAAGTTTAGGATTTTATTTTTATTGTTGTATAAAGGTAAAAAAATGTTGAAAAAGCAAGTGAATGTTGCATATTTACTGAGTTAATGAACACATTAGGTCTTAAAGTTCTTCTCAGAATTGGCTCTTCAGAGCTCTTTTTTCTTTCCTCTTATTTCTTTTTGTCAAAGCTTTTTGTTGCCAGTTTCACTTAACCTAAGAAAAGATAGCTCTGCGTCAGCATTTCTTTTCATATCTCTTTTTTCACATCTCTTTCCACTGTAATTTGTGGAAAACAAAATATAGGTATTAAATGACAATTACTCATTCATAAAAGTGTAAAACTTACCTTATTGGATGTAAGTGATAGCTTTCCATTTCATTTAAAACTTTTGAATAATGCTAAATTTGAGTGTTTGTTAATGTGTCTCTAATGAATATGTGGCAAGAAGGGTTATTTAAATTACATGGAAATGTCTGTTAAGGTCTAACATTATGCTAGATTCCTTAATGATATTCTTTTCCTTCCAGATCTTAGTTTTCAAGCAGCTTCTCAAATAATGTCCACTCCAGTTTATGATGCCATAAAATTAATGAAGGACATTTCGCAGAACTTCCCCATAAAAGCCAGGTATATTAAAGTTTATTGATTTGATTATAGTCAGAACTCTTTCCGTTAAATAAATTTTATGAAAATAGCTGATTTCATTTAACATAATGATATCAGTTAATTGTAGATATACAATACTAATTGTATATAGTGTTTATGAGATCAGGGTCTCTTTTCATTATGTATATTGGGTTTTTTTTTTTAACTAGAGCAGAATATTGGCTTGTGCATGCATATGTATACATACTACAAAATAGAACTCTTGAATTAGAGGCAAATGGAAAGGAAAAAATAATGTATTTAAAAATTTATTTAAACGTAAACAGTGAGAGATGGTAATCCAAGAAAAAACTGATTTAGGCAGTATATAATAAGGGGACATTTTTCTCTTTACCCTACAGAGGATGATGAAAAGTATTGCTCTAAATAGACCTATGCCCAGTGTATGGCCAAATCATGTTCTTGCCCTTTCAGATTCCAAACAATTAGTAATGTCTTAATTGTATAGAATATTTTGCGGAATACTTTTTTGCCAATAAGATATCTAATTGAACTGCTTTCAGAAATATTAATATTACATTAAATGCATCTTCCAGTTCAATAGATAATACATTTCCATATCTAGAAGTAACCAGTAGATACAATTCTGGTTACCGTGTTTTATAAGGATTTACAAAATAACAAGACTTTGATGCATTTGTAGGAATAATAGTATAAAATTATAAGCAACCAGTAAAACATAAGCTAAGTTAGCTTATATTGAAGATATACAACACGTGACAGGTGCGGCAATAGTGTTTCACTGAGAGAAATTGGAGAGCATCCTTGTGCCCTCAGCATCCCTTCTTAAGCAGTGGATAATCACTACCCCTCTATTTGTTTCAGACACTTTGGTACATTTATCCACAGCACAAATTACTGGATCCTGAATCTAGACAGTCAGTACCTTTGTAAGATAAATATAAGTAGTACATGTTTGGCCACAGGATACCAAGAACCTTTTCGTGATACCCTGAAAATAGAGAGGTTTGTCACCTTATTTACAGATTAAAAATGAATACATTGACATGACTCTCAGTTTTAGTTTAAGCAAAACCAAGAATTTGAGAAGTCAGTATATGTATATTAAAACATGAAATATGTATGTGTGTATAAACATAGATGTTTAGCCACACTGCTGTTAACTAACAATAGCTTTTGAAATTACTCGATCAAATAAAGTGAAATAATTTTAGTTTTAGGAAGATAGTCGATTAGCTGTTTTGACGGTAAGTCATTATAATTATTCAGGGGTTCTGTGGCTAAACTCTGCTCTTAATTTGTGGTTGGTCGTTAAAAAAAAATTTACCAACTCTGCTAACACTGCTTAATGGCTGAACTGTAGGCTTAAGCATATCTCTACAGTTACTCTGATAAGTCGTTACTCCATGAACTTGTGGATGCTTCCTGAATCTTGGGATGAAGCGAGTTGAGTTGGTTTCCTCCAGACTCCATCAATGGTGCAACCATAATTGATACCCAAGGCTAAAAATCTCGCCTCCATATATGTTCAGACTTAATAAATGGTTTTTATTTTTCATCAAAAAAAAATAAAGTCACTCTGTAGACAGCCAGTAAATGTTCATTGAAATGAAATACTTGATAAATGAATGAAAAATTTGCATTATCAGATTTTCAGTTGCAATTAATCTCAAATGCTGCCAGATTTTAGGAGGTAATACACACTTACCGTGGGTTGTTTTAAGATACACCCTTCTGCTTGGGTTTTACTTAATGCCAGACTTTGCATTAACGATCTTTTGATTTTTAAATCATTTTCTTCTATGCATAAAATTGACAGATCAATAGCTAATTAAGCATGCTTAGTAGTTACTAGGTCAAATAAATATAATTAATAAATAAATATAATTAATATAATTAATAGACTTATTTAAAAGACAGTTTGCTCTGTTTTTAAATTATAAGGGAGTTCTAAGCTTCCTGATAGAGTGAATATATGAAGTCAACATTATCAGTATTTTAGAACTTACATACTGTGGTAAAGATCTCAGGTTAACCAAAATTCTTTATATACACATATTCCAAACATTGCCTATTTGCAGCGCTACATATAATGACATTGGTAATTTCATATAGAATTTCTCCCTATGGGCAAAACAACACAAAACAGCATTTTCAGTCAAGTATTCTTGAAAAATGCGACAGCATGTAATGTGTACAGTTTGTGCACATGAACTTTTGACAGCCTCTATTCCACCTGAATCAAATACCCTTGTCAAATGAAAGCCGTAGTACCACCTGTCAAATAGGCTATGTGGAAAATGTACACTTGTCAGTCATGATGCCTTTAGAGTTTTTAGTTTCTTGTACAAAGTATTACATTGCACTGAATCATAGATTAGTCCAAACATTTAAGGAAGAATGAATTGTATCTGTATTTATGTTCCCAGATCTCTGACCAGAACTGCTGTAAATCAACGTATGAGGGAGGAAATACAGGAAAATCAAAAGGTTTGTTCGAATTCCTTTCTTAAAAATTTTACTACACTAATAACGCTATATTTTAGACTTTGGGTCTTCAATTTTCATACAGAAAAGAAAATGTTAACTTGTACTTTTTGATTATTAAAACAGTTCAGGTTTTTCCATTTTTATATTGTCTACTCTATATAGCATACAGTTTGTGATCCTAGCCAATCTTTCCTGACATAGATCCTACTTACTTTCTCATTAACCTTATATACTCCAGATTTTCTGCCCATGCTGTATGGTTTTCTTCACAAAATAGAGATAAAGGCTATGAAATAATTCTTCTGTTTCTCATTAGTTTTGCTTAAAAGCTTGTGAGGACCAAGCCAAGTTTAGACCACTGGAACATTACTAGAGTCCTATAACATATAGTACACAGTTGATCACTCGTTTGATAAGATTCTGCTAAATGGTCTCCTAAATTACCTTAAGACCCCAAATGATTCTAACTGTGTTAATACTTAGGAAATGCTTGAGAACACTTCCTGGTTCTATTACATAGGACTGGTTTGGCTTTAAGTAATACTAATCCCAGGCACGCAGGGCCTTAAACAGTAGGAGTTCATTTTTCTCACATAAAAAGAAGTCCCTTCCCTGGTGGCGCAGTGGTTAAGAATCTGCCTGCCAGACAGGAATAAAGATGCAGACAAAGAAAATGGACTTGAGGACACAGGGAGGGGGAAGGGTAAGCTGGGATGAAGTGAGAGAGTGGCATGGACATATATACACTACCAAATGTAAAGTAGCTAGCGGGAAGCAGCCGCATAGCACAGGGAGATCAGCTCGGTGCTTTGTGTCCACCTAGAGGGGTGGGATAGGGAGGGTGGGAGGAAGGTGCAAGAGGGAGGAGAAATGGGGATACATGTATATGTATAGCTGATTCACTTTGTTATACAGCAGAAACTAACACACCATTGTAAAGCAATTATACTCCAATAATGTTTAAAAAAGAAAAAAAATCCGCCTGCCAGTGCAGGGGACACGTGTTCAATCCCTGGTCCAGGAAGATCCCACATGCCGTGGAGCAACTAAGCCCATGCACCCCAACTACTGAAGCCCGTACACCCTAGAGCCCATGCGCCGCAACAAGAGAAGCCACCACAATGAGAAGCCGGCTCACCACAACTAGAGAAAGCCTGTGCACAGCAACGAAGACCCAACGCGGCCAAAAATAAATAAAATTTTAAATATTAAAAAAAACAGAAGTGTCAAAGTAGGTTTCCACAGACATGGTTTTTTCTTTTATGGTTGCAGAATGGCTGCCACAGCTCCAGACTACTTGTCTGGATTCAAAGCAGAAAGAGGCAGGAAGATCAAACCACATTCATCCTGACTGAAGCCTTTCTGGAACACTTCAACCATCTTTGACTTCTGTCTCATTGGCCAAAATTTTGTAATGTGGATATTCCTAGCCACAAGGGAGACTAGAAAAGTTAGTGCTTGCTTTTCTAGTGATTGAGGGGAGCAGGGGCGAAATGGCTTAGAGATAGTGCCAGGTTAGCCCATCAACAGTGCCTGTTACACTGAGACAGTAAGCTCTCAGTAAATATCAGCTGTTTTGATGATGACAGACAACGACAGTGATGATAATGAAGTAGATGCACAGTTCATGGGAGACTGAGTGATAGAAGCCGCAGCACATCATCCCTACCTGGGATGTTCTTTGCCTCACTGACCACCTAACAAATTCTTGCTTATCCTTCAAAACTGAGCACTACTCCTTTCTGTAATTTTCCTAATTGCTCTTACCGTTCTTCAAGCAGAATGCATTGTTTTCTTATAAGAATTTTTGTATTTGTTTGTTTGAATAATGCCACTTGCAGTAAGAAAGGAAGAGAGGTTGGGAAAGAAAAAGGAGGGAAAAGAAAGGAATGCCAAAGTATCAGTGGCATCACATAACCCAGTTTATTTTTTGCTCCGTTAAGAGTCCAAAGGGGGTGTTCCTGGTCATCAAAGCTTTGCTCTGTGTGATGATTTTGATTCCAGAGGCTGAAGAATTTCATGAGGTTAAAGAGATATTGTGGGAATAAAAGAGATAATTGGAAGGACCAAGTGGGATAGCTCCAGAGGTGAACCACTGTGATGACATAATCACAGGATGACAGTCGAAGCTAGCTGCTGAAGTAGAGTGGGAATGAAAGTCAGTGGAAATGAGTCAGTCAGGAAACTCTGAACCTAGGGGTTTGAATGAGCACAGTACCTGGCACAGAGCATTCCGTCAGAAATATTTGTTGAATTGAAAACTTTTGAATATTTAAATGTGACCTATAATACATTCTATATTTAGCAGTGTGTAGTTTTTAAGATGTTCTGTATATTATAGCAGTTGTTAATATCCTAATGTATAAACTGAGATCCAGTGATTTCTTCTAGGTCACAGAATTGGTACAAGATGGAACCAGAATTTGTGCCTTGGTTTACAGCTCATTTCAGAACAATTTAATAAGAATTGTGAGTTTTTCTATCGCCAGTCACCTTGCTAGGTGATTGGAAAGATATTTGATGAAATTAAGAAATTTGATCTAGTCTTCTAAAAAAAATTCTTCAGTGACGTCTATTTCTAAGAGAACAGCATACAAAGGGCTAGACAGATGTATTTAAATAAAACCAGGTGAGAAGGGGGAGTCTGGTGTAGACTGTCAGCTCCCCAACAAAAAGCCACCAGGGAAACTTGTTACTCAGGCAAAGCTGAGTTTGATAAACTTGCTGCAATGAGGGAGAGCAACACCTTGATAGACTCTTGTTAAGTGTCTCAAAAGGAGGACATTAGGGTAGAGTAATTAGAGGATTGGAGAGGGTCTCTGTTTAGGTGGTTTAAGTTGGGTCTTTCAAGGTGGGGAATTGTTTGGGATTGGGTAGACTTTGTAACACAATAGTTTACATTGTGTTGGTGAACATTAAAGTGATGGATTTGGTGAGCAACAGCAAGGGAATGTGAAACTAAAACTGGAAGGACTTTGCAAAGGTGTAGAAAGTAAAGATAAAACCATTTCTGAAATAAAAACTAAAGTTATAAAGTGGCACAAAGGAGAACTGACCTTATAGAAAACACAGCAGAAGACATAGTAGATAGAAATAATAAATGCAGAGATAATTTAAAAAAAAAGAAATAGAAAGGACTCAGGAGAAGATGATAAAGTAAAGCCAGGTAAAGGAAATCCAATATACCTAGACTAGAGTCCGTGAAATCGAAGAATAAAACAAATGGACAGAACGAATGCCTAAAACTACAATCAGAAAATTTTCTGAAATAAAAGAAGTTCCAAATCCACAAATAAAAAGGGTGCATTGTGCAACTTGGGAAAATTGACCAAGAGTGGTCAAATATAAGCTATTGAACTTTATAGGGAACAAAGGAAATTACTTATGCATTTAATAAGAAAGATGATAAGGAAAGAAAATCACATTGGCATCAGACTTCTCAAAAACAAATTCAACACCAAGAAACAGTGAAGCTCCATCTACAAGACATTCAAGGAAAGAAAAACTGTCCTTCAAGAAGATATGTATATACAGGCTACAAATATGTTGAACATACAAAAATTCAGGGAATATTGCTCCCAAGAACACATTCTGAGGAATTTGTCCGACCAAGAACTGATTGAAGATTCTTGGGCAGAACAACTGCCTGTTGGGCATTGAATATGTTTATGTGTAGAACTAAAAGTAAAAAGTGAGGGACAGGGTGATAGTATAGTATGTAAACAGTACCTACTCTGACAAAGATAAAATATTGCAACTAATAAATATGGCGGGTGATAGAAAATAAAATGAACTTGTTGATTGCCTTAACTGTAATACTCAGGAATCAAAGATATAATTAAAGCTGAAAAGTCAAGCAGTGGAAGCCTGAACTTATTTAAAAGTATATAGCTAACCACTAATGAATCTAAAACTATTGAATAAAATTGGGCTGTGCAAGAGGAAAGGCAGCAGAAAGAGGTTAAAGGCTAATTTTATTATTTTTTGTAACAGAAATCATTAGTTGTTGGTTAAAGAAAGAGATGACTGAGGGTATTAAATGAACATACTTTTTTTTTTTTTTTTTTTTTGCGGTACGCGGGCCTCTCACTGTTGTGGCCTCTCCCGTTGCGGAGCACAGGCTCTGGACGTGCAGGCTCAGTGGCCATGGCTCACGGGCCCAGCCGCTCCGCGGCATGTGGGATCTTCCTGGACCAGGGCACGAACCCGTGTCCCCTGCATCGGCAGGCGGACTCTCAACCACTGCGCCACCAGGGAAGCCCAACATATATGTTTAATAGTAACTAGAGGAACAAAAGTCTAAATCTTCCAAACTGTGAAAAGAACTGAATGCGCAAGAAAAGAAAGAGACATTTAAAAAATACATCTAGAAAGAGTAAATACAGCATGAAAGAATGACATTTGAGGCTAACCAGGTCTATGATATCAATAAATGTAAATAAGCTTAACTAACATATTAGCAAAAATGTTCAGTTTGTTTCATTAGGCATGTACAATGTATGTAAAATAAAAACTCTTAAAGTAATTTAGAAATGTCAAAAATTAAAGGACATGCCAAGGTATACCAAGCAAATACTGTGTGTTAAGGGTAGTGACCTTAAAATGCCATGAAGCCAAATTCAGTTCTGAAAATATTAATGAGCAAAAAATGGCCATTTATAATACTTAGGGCTATAATTCACAAGGCTACAATAGCAGTTTAAAATATTTTTACATCAAAACACTGCAGCAACATTCCTGAAACAGACTACAGGAGATGGAAGGAGAAATATAATTTACCTCTCTCAGACTAGTGAAATGGTAAGTAAAGATATAGAAGACCAAATGACATTATGATTGTATAGATAATAGGTCTTCTGGCTATATAAAAAATTTTGTGTCCTGATAATAGAAAAAATATGCCTTTCTTCAAGTTTTTATGAAGTAGTAATGGCAAAAAATCCAGAAAGTGGGTAAAATAGAAAAAAAATTCTCAATATCAATGCAAACAAGAAATCAAT